TTAGTGCCATTCATTTAGTTTATTAATTTAATCCATTCTATATAAAAAACACCCAGAGCAGTTTACAATAAATAAAAACAGAAATAATATTTGTTTTCATCTCCAACCCAGCGGGGGAATGTGCTTTCTTTGTATGCATTTTAAGAAAGTCACTCCAGTGAATTCATAACACACATTTGATCTGTAACATATAGCTTACCCCTTAAAACCAAGAGATTCCCCTTCTTTCTACACAATTTTGAACCCTACAATGTATTCCTCAATGTAAGCAAATGTTACTCCCCTCTCTGACATTTATTTTCTCTTCCATTAACTATTAACTTATACAAAGGAATGAGCAGTAAATTTCCAACTATTGATTTGACCTCAATGCTTTATTTGTGTTAAATTTTCCCCCCTAAGTTTCAAGCTTCCTCAATGTTGCAGCCACTTACTTGGGAGCTCTTTTCCCCAAATTATGTGAAAGAAGCTGGTTGTGCTTTCTTAAACTAAGGGAAATGCACTATGCTTAAATTCAAAGACATTTTATCCTTCATTATTCATGCACATGCTCCATATTAATCCCCTTAACACTTATATTTCAGAACTAAGGGCTTAACCACACTTACCTGTCCTCCATGCTTTCCAGGCATAGCTAGTGCTTTAAGCTCCTTGCCTAAATACATTTTTTTGAGCTCCCTCCCCCGCAAACTCTACTCTTTAAAGCTGAATCAGAGCAAATGGCAATTCACGGACCCATGTCTGGAAAGTGTGGGGCAAAAGGTGTGGGCAATCCCTAAGCCTTGTGAGTCCTAGCTACTGTTAGTTTGGATGGACATGGGAAGGATAGATAAAGGTCCAATGAAACCTATCTTATCAATCATGTAGTCCAGGGTTTCCTAAACCTGGGTCTCTAGCTGTAGCTGATGGGCTACAATTCCCATCATCCCTGACCACTGGTCCTGTTAGCTAGGGATGATGGGAGTTGTAGTCAAATAGCAGCTGGAGACCAAAGTTTGGGCAATGCTGACATAGTCCTATGAAACTGGATTCCATCCGTGCACCCAAATCCAGAGACCAGGGCAGACTCCACTGTGCACACAAGGCTCTAGTAGCCACAAGCAACTCCATTCATGTCAATGAAAGAAGCAAATCTGCAATTGGAAGAAGATGTACCTAATATGAACCTGCATTTTCTATTGAAAATGCTGTTTGGGGTGAAGAGAGCTCCATACGTATGTTAGATGGTTTGGACAGATCAGTGGGGTGGGATTTTCAAGAAGCAGTACATTTTTGAAAGCAATATTTCTACAACGTGCTGTATTAATTTTATACTGGAAACTAAATTCAGAAACATTCCAAGATGAGGTGGCATTTTCATTGTCAATAGCCTAATAAAACACACATGTGTGCATTTTCTCATTTGAATATTTATAAAAACACAGGAGGCAGTTCATTTTACAATCCTCTGCATGGTTACTCAAAAGTACATTCTGTGTTCAGGTTAAGTACATAGCATTGCAGTCTTACTCAGCTAATGGCTCAGTATGGACAATTATTACCAGCTTCATAAAGCCATAGTTTATTAAGCCAGGAATTGCCTCTTCCCACCCTTCACATCAGATGCCAGTGAAAAGATCCAGCTTGTATTGAGTCAGAGTTCCTTGCTATGGTTGAATCAGGGAAATCTGTCTTAAAGTTGGTTAACAAACCAGAAAAATAAGCCAGGAGTGCTCAACTCAACACTCATTCCTGGCTTAATAAACCGTGGTTTATGAAGCAGAGAATAATTGTCCAAAATGGGTCAAAGTCAATTATGCCAAGTACTCCTTTTACTCATAACACCGAGCTTTTGAAGGCTTACAGTGTTCCCTGGGAGTGAAACAGGTAAGTTAAACAAAAAATGCAAATGGGGAAATTTCGTATTACTTTTTCACTAACATACTTGACACCACCATTGGAGACTGAACAAAGAACACACTGTCAAAGACGAAACCTGCACAGAATGTTACCACTTGTTTTCTATGAATGCAGAGGTATATTTACTAAAAGAAAGACATTCCATTCCTCTCCAGAGATTTCTCCTTCATTCAGAAGAACTACAGTGCTGTGTTCATAGTGTTTGGATTCCAGGTTACATCAACATTTCAGTTACAGACCCCTATTTGCAAGAGCAATATTAGTTTGATATATTTAAAAAATGCAACCTTAGACTTCAATTTGGCACTGCTTGGTTCCAATTGGAGAAGAATTTTAAGTGTATGTAATTTGGCTTTTGTGAACTAAGTGAGGTCACTTAAATATTAAACAGAAAATAATAATGTAGAAGACATTGTTCGGCACATAAATCCCTTAATTCAAATTTTATTTCCATGAAAACTAATACTCCATACTTTGGTTACTTTCAGACTGGATTATTGTTATGTACTCTACATGGGCTGCCCATGATGATGACCCAAAAATTTCAGTTTGCTCCAAAATGCAGCAGTCAGGTGCTCACATTAGTGTTTAAAGCCCCCCCCCAACCCTTTGGATATTAAGATCAGCAGCAGAGGCCCTCTTAGCAGTTCCACCACCTTCATAAATTCAGGGGCTTGGATAGGGCATTCTTTGTGGCTGCACCTAAAGTTGTGGAATTCCCTCTCCACAGAGGTTCATCTGGCACCTTCATTATGTGCTTCCTGCCACATGCTGAAGACTCACTTTTTCACTTTGGTCTTTGACACCTGAGTTATATGTTTGTAGGACCCACCCTATTCTCTTGACTGCAATTTGTTTTAAACTGATTTTAATATCGTATTTTTAAATTGCTGTAACCAGCACAAGGAGTTTATGGTGGAAAGCAGGTAGGAAATTGAATGAGTAATCAGTGGCGTAGCAAGGTTAGGTGGTACCCGGTGTAGAAAATTTATTGTCTCTCTCTCCCCCCCCCCCATTGAAATCTAGTTGGACTCCCAAGAGACTCTGATCTACTCACAGTATAAAAAGACTGGCTGTGATCTACCCATTATCATTGCCAGAAGTTGTTGAGGTTTTTAAGGGAAGGATTGACCAAAATTGTTAAGCTTTTTGGGGGGCTGCAGGGTTTGGGCCCTGAGTTGAGAGAGCTTCTGCTTCTCTCCTTCCCTCCACCCTCCTCTTGTTTGTTTGCCTGCCTCCTTCCCATCCTCTGCCTGCCTGCCTGCCTGCCTCCTCCAGCAGCCCGGGAGCGCAGGGCTGTCAAAACGAAGCAGCACAAAGCGGCGCAACTAACCCCTTCCCCCGACGGCTCCAGGTAGGCGGGAGTCATGGGCGGGTGGCACGCTGAATGTCACCCCCCTCGGTGATGACACCCGGGGTGGCCTGCCCCCACCTTGCTCTGCCCCTGTAAGTAATAATCATATTTCTGCAGTAGGGTGTGCAAAGCACTTGCCAGTTTCTCCTCCCCCTGCCATAGGTCTGTCCAACTGTGAAAGTAACAAAAACAAGATGAAGTACTTACAAGACTACTACTATTTGTAGGGTGGACACAAGGTATCTTTAAGCTTTTTCAGCTCTTTTTCAATGGTACCTTCTTCTGAAAAATAGTCATCTTCTTTTGAATGGTTTCACTAGAGATCACACCCCTTCTGGATTTGCACGTTATGCCCCTTATCATATAAAATGACCCAAGCCTTAATTAAAATCAACACTAGATTCACCCTCTGGCTTATCATTAGCAACAAGATGAGTCAAAGATTCCAGGGATGAGTGGTGATGGCATTGTTTATATGATATTCCCTCTTTAAGGGGTGGAGGTTAATAAGCCCACCCTTCCTATTCTTAGATGAATTCGTAAAACATTTTAATTCCATAAAGGGCTTTATGATTGATTTCTGCTGTTTTTATTTCTCTGTTCTGGTTTTTAAATGCTGTTATGCTTTTATCTTCATACTGTGCTTTATTGTTATGCTCTTATTGTGAAGCTCTTTTAGAAAACTAGTTTGAAAAGCAGGATATAAATAACTAGCAACAATTTCCTTCCCTTCATCCACATTTTCCTGGGAATTGGCAGTCTACCCACCAATCTTTCAGCTAAGGTGGGTGCCTTTTTTTCAAAGCCAACAGAACATTTGCATAACGAAGCTTTAACCCTTCATCATTGCACCTCATTGCTGGACAGTGGTCAGACCAAGGAGTCTGACAGAAAAAAAGGTACAGGTCACGACCGAAGGATTTCAGGAAGGCAAGTGGAGCTACTTATATACTTTTGCTATTCAAGAAGCAAGGCAAAGTTGAGAAGAGATTAATAAACTGAAGGCAGAAGAAGGCAGCGGCAACCCATAGCAAGTATATTTTCAGCAAAATGAAGAGATAAAGCTTTTCCTGTACCCACTTCGGGCTGTCATTGGAAGGCTGGCGACGGCTGTCACTGCAGATACTGAAATGAATTCTGAACATTTACTGTATCAGAATACCAAGGACTAAGGAAATGCAGATCAACTCAAAAATATACAATTACATTCCCTTATTTCCCTCCCTTTTTTCCAGGGGAAATGGAGTATGGCAGCAAATTATAGTATTCCGAGTTTCAAGTACTTGAAAGCTAGCAAACAATTTAAAAAGAAAGTCACTGACTAGTTTGCTTCAGACCTTTTCAAAGGCAATTACCAGACCAAAGAAATTAATAGGAAAAATAAATTATTTTCTTAAAAACAAAATTAGCATTTCATTAAATTTCCTGAATTACTATTTATTTAGCAACACACAACATAAACCGCACATGCCTCTGCACACCCTTAGCTTGCTGAGATTTCAAAGAGACTCTCTCTCTCTCTTTCTCAGAAATACCAACTCTCTATGGCAGGTTCTTACAGTATGTTAATTAATGACCAAGGAATGCCAGCTATGAATGCAGAATGAAATTGTAAATCCCTAACACACACACACACACACACACACACACACACAGAGAGAGAGAGAAAATTACCGGTCAGACGAGTCTTCTTGTTTTTCAGATGTAGGAGATTTTAATATTTTTGTTCTTGTACATCAAGATCTTGTTAACTCAGTCCTTTCTTAATGTTTAGCTTCTGTAAAGGTCTAAGTTTAACTGAAGAACAAGAACCTGCAATAGAGAGGAAAAGAGAGGGCGATAAGAGCATGAAAGAATTTCAGCTGCTGGCTGCAGCTACTGTTCTAGGAGCATTTGAGCTATTTTCAGCACCAGACGGGTTTGTCTGCAATAAGAGAAACCAGAAAAGTACACAGGCAGGAAACTCACAACAACTTTGTTCACTGTTCAGATTCCACATCCAAACTTGCAATGCTGAGCAAAATCAGTTTTCAGACAATTTAAAGCAGCATGCTGCACAAGAAATAAACCCTGATTGACTTCATTTTTCTTGGATCGGGTGACCAGCCTGGAAAACACTGTAAATATTGTGCCTCCTTTTAATAACATCAACCCAGATTCTTTGAATGAGGAGCTTTCTCTTTTTTGCTTTATTTTGCTTCCAAGGCCTTTAGATCTCACTGGCTCACTTGGCTTCCTAAAAGGGAAACCAGAAGTTTATTTCCTGTTTGCAACAAAATGTTTGGAATCTGCAACCCTTCTATTTTCGAATGCTTAGTGACCTAAGAATGATTGTTGACTCTATAGCATTTATGTGACAAGGGAAATGAGGAGCCAATTGGTATTGCAATTGCCCACCTATTCACTACTGCAGAGAAGGAACAACTGCCGAAGGTTTCTTCATGTTGGGATACTATGGTAAGCATACTCATCAGGTACATTACAACAAGAACAACTTTAATATCTACGTCTATATATAACACTTTCAACTGTTCAAAATGGTTAGTGTACATTATCCTGAAAGAACCCTGTAAAATAAATCAATATTACTTATTTTGTAAATGGGGTGACTGAAGCTGAGGTGGGGGCAGCTTATGTAAGTTTATGGAAAAGATGAGATTCAAACCCTCCTGATTCCAGATGATCAGTCCAGACACCATTTTCACACTGGGGAATAAGGAACACTAACTTATTAATTAGCCTTCACCCCAAAAAATCTTCCATCATTATAGATGTGGGAGATTTAAAATGGAAAATGAAGAAGAAATTACTGCCGTTTGCATGGCCAGGAATGGAAATGAGTCAGGCGAATACAATCAATTTTTTTTTTTTACATTACCGTTGTGGTTGTTTTTTTAATGTCCACAAATGACATGTAATTAATGAAAACAATGTTTTGACATGTCCCTTGCATCGAAATGTATGTAAGTTAGGCAAATACTTTGCAACTTACATTAAGTAGAAGACAGCAAGACAAATAACGTAGTACTAATCAAACTGAAAGGGATGCGGGTAGCGCTGTGGTCTAAACCACAGAGCCTAGGGCTTGCCGATCAGAAGATCAGCGGTTCGAATCCCCGCGACGGGGTGAGCTCCCGTTGCTCGGTCCCTGCTCCTGCCAACCTAGCACTTCAAAGGCACATCAAGTGCAAGTAGATAAATAGGTACTGCTCCAGCGGGAAGGTAAAAGGTGTTTCTGTGCACTGCTCTGGTTCACCAGAAGCGGCTTAGTCATGCCAGCTCCCTTGGCCAGTAAAGCAAGATAAGCGCCACAACCCCAGAGTCATCTGCGACTGGACTTAACGGTCAGGGGTCCCTTTACCTTTGCTCAAACTGCTGTGGAACAGAAACCAGCAATGGTTGTAGGGCAAATACAGGTCGGAACAGAAATTGCTGCCTTCTTATATGCGATCATGCCAGAGAACTTTCCTGGATGTCCTCTACAAACATCTTTCCTAACTGGGAAACCCTTCATCACCAAGAAACAACCCTCATCTCTAACAGTTTATCTTGCAGTGCCCTTCGCAGGACTTTTATTTCCACTAGATTGGAAAATTAGCTCATTGATCCTCATATCAAGGGATGGGGAGAAATTTATTCGGTCCACATTTTAATGCAAACCCATCAAATTTGCACTGTATGAACCAATGAATGAACCCTTCAAAATTCACACTTCTCCAATGTTTGTGATGCAGCTCTCCAACCAAAGAGTGCATACAAAATGTGTATATTAGAGGAAAATGCATGCAAAAATTTGCAGATATTGCTGAAAATAATGTGCAAAACACTGATTGTATTAGGGGAAATTGCTTACAAAAATGTGTGTATTTGGAGAAGTGTGCAGAAGAATGCATATGAAAATTAACTAACATATGTAGCACATACGAAACTTAAGACTGGAAAAATAAAAAACTGGGTGATTAGATTTTTTCTGGTTCAGATCATTCCTCATCTAATGCACTCAGAATGGCAACAGAAGGATCAATATCACCAAGACCACAAATGGAAATCGAATGCTGCCTGTTTTGGAGTGGTTCTGCAACATTATTGTGGTTTGCAAAGTTGTGCTCAAAAGCTTTGTTTCAAAAGCAAACACAAACAGCGCTTTATTAAACAACCCATGCAATAATCTTGTAACTTCCTGTCCTCACTTGCTGCATGTGACTGACAACTTCCTTCTCTTAAAAGTACAGGCAAACTTTATAGAACAGGGGTAACCAACAAAGTGCCCTACAGATGTTTTGGGCTACAGTTCCCATCAGCACCAACCAGCATGGCCAATAGTGAGGGATAATGGGACTTGCAGTCTGTAACTTCTGGGAGGGCACCATGTTGGCTACATCTGTTCTAGGAAATGCCTCAGGAGCCAGTAAGGTGTATTGCTTAGTGTGTCAGACCAAGATCTAGGAGACCAGGATTCAGATCCCTACTCAATCATGAAGCTCACTGGGTGACTCTGGGCCAACCATTCACTCTCAGCTTAACATACATCACTGGGCTGCTGTGAGGATAAAAATGGGGAAAATGAGAAAATAATGCGTGCCTCCTTGAACTCTAAAATGGGTAAGGTGGGATATAAATGTAAAAATAAATACATAAAATAAAAATACAGGACACTACAGGAGAATCTCAGCTGAGCAATGGATCATTCAAATATATGTGCTTGTTACAGGAGTTGTAAAATCAAGATTCATAAAAAATATCCAGCTCAGGATTGAATGAGTCCTGGATTAAATACAGTGGTACATCTGGTTAAGAACTTAATTCGTTCCGGAGGTGCATTCTTAACCTGAAACCATTCTTAACCTGAGGTACCACTTTATCTAATGGGGCCTCCTGCTGCCGCTGCGCCGCCAACGCACGATTTCTGTTCTCATTCTGAGGTAAAGTTCTTAACCCGAGGTACTACTTCTGGGTTAGCGGAGTCTGTAACCTGAAGTGTTTGTAACCCAAGGTGTTTGTAGCCCAAGGTACCACTGTATGCAGACAAGCAGCTGGTTCTTGCCTGGGCAATACAACAATTCCCTGTTCTATCTCTCACCAAGGAACAAGTTCCATTTTTAGCTGCTTTTCAAAGAACTACCCCTCTTCATTCCAGCCCTAAATACTACACTGGGCTGCTTGCTTCACTTCTCCTTCAACACTGCTGTTTTGGGGGTTTTCCACACTAAGGAGATACAGCTACTCTTGTCCCAGCCAGCAAGATGCAAGAAAAAACAAATGTATGATGCTCTGCAGAGCTATATTTCTTTCCTTTCCCTGAAACAGTCTCCTCAAGCAGACAGCTTCCATCCACCTTCAGATCCCCTCATTTACCAGCGGCACAAAATTCAGTCTTGCAACTTGATTGTTTTGCTGTAAATCTATCTTACCTGTCACTTTGATAGCATTTACTAAGCTTGTTAAGTAGCACTGCTTTTGGGGTGAGTTAATCATTTGTAGCAACTGCCCACAATAATTCTTCGCTTTTGCTCAATTTCAAGAAATATGTTTTATAGGTCGCAAATATTATTAAAATTTTTGCAGCCAGCCTGTCTGTCTCCAGGACATGACAGATTTCCATAACTCTGAAAACAGCCATGCCAAAAAAGAAGTCCAGAAACATCACCCTTAAATCTAGACAACTCTTTCCCAAATATTTTGCTACACCCTACGTTTTGAAACAGGGATGGGGAACCTTTGGCCCCCTAGATGTTGCTTAACAACTCCCAGAAACCCCAGCCAGCATGGTCACTAGTCAGGGCTAGCTGGATTTGTAGTCCAACAACGTTTAAGACCAACGGTTCCCCACTCCTGTTTTAGGCAATGTTATTGATATTGCTTGCCATTTTTGATAATACTAACATTTTAGCAAAAATAGAAAGCCTTTGGGAAAGTATTAAGTCAGTCGTACATGCATTTCCCCATCAGCTGTTAGCCATAATAGCAAAACAGAACCATATTCACAGACAACATACCTTGCAATGCCAGGTGCTGGGGAGAAACAGGGAGAAGCTATCACCTCCACACTCTGCTTGAGAACACCGAGATACATTAGGCTGGTTACTTATGGGCAATCATTTTGCCATTAGCTTCTAGATCAGGTGTGTGCACCACATCTTGTGATCGATTATGCAGGGCAGGGCTTACCTGGGTTCCCCAACATTTTATTCAGATTGGTGCCCCTGTTGCCTCTGAAGCTAGAGCAGGGTTTCCCAAAACTGGGTCTCCAGCTGTTTTTGGACTACAGTTCCCATCATCCTTGACCACTGGCCCTGCTAGCTAGGGATGATGGGAGTTGTAGTCCAAAAACAGCTGGAGACCCAAGTTTGGGAAACCCTGTTCTAAATACTCCCACATGTTTGCACTCCCTTCTCAGCTTTATACTAAAGTTAAACCTTTGGAAGGACCACTTCCTGAGCTTGCCACACCACAGACCAACTGCTGGTCCTTTGCACTTGTTTCTCTTTCTGTGAAAGCACGTATGACTATGAGTGGAATATGGGCCTCTCCTGCAAGAAGGTAAGAAAGGTGTTTTCAACATGTCCCCTGCCCAAGATCTGGTGGAGATGTCCTTCACTGTGTTACACCTATGCTGGAAGGGTAGCTACGGTGATCAGAGAAGACTTCCTTGTGGAAGCTGTGCAATGCATCACATCATGAGTTTCAGTGGTCCCCTCTTTTGCTGTTCAACAACTGGTGAGTTTTTTTTGTATTCCAGCAAGCTTCTGCAATGCTTGAGAGATTACTTTAATCTGTCATGTCTGATCTCCATTGCATTTTAATTATGTTATGGTTTTACTATCAAATTGCAGCTTTTAACTGATCTAAGTCATCTTGAATGGCGTATACATCAGAGGGGTGGTGGTAAATATTCTCTAATAAATAAAGAAGGGTCGGCTGGACTGTTGTGGGCAACAGATCACTTACTGAAAGGGCGTTATAACTATTCCCATTAACAGTTAAAAGCAAATGGAAAATAAAATTGGAGACATTTGAATGCCAAAATCTGGTCCTTAAGTCCAGTAAAACTGACCTACTTCATGACTGCCTACTGCAGAAGACAGCTAAAACAAGCAACTCCTTTCTGCATACTGTCATAAGCAGAAACACATTTGAAAATCCTAGGAGTGAATTGAAATGCTTAAGAGTCAGCAATCAAATTGTTTAGTTTTCTGAATAATCAGGCATTTGGGATCTTCACAGCTCTGCTTCAAAGCAAATGGTAAATAATATAGTTTTTGATCTGCAGCCACACAAGTAGAATTCTGCTTGTTGAAGAGGATTTGCTGAAGAGGGAAATCAGTGGAAATCAGTGAGGTTGTCTTGCACACATGGAAAGGCCTTTCCACCCATGGAAGTCATCTCTGGATCCCATCCATCATTGCAGTGTTTGCCAACATAGTGTCCTTCAAGTTTTGGACTACAACTCTCATCAGCCTCAGCTCTGGTGGCTGGGGCTGATGGAAGCTGTAACTCGAAACATCTGGATGGAATCAGGTTTGTGAAGGCTGTGTTATTGGGTGTGGTCTACAAATTATGAGGCCTGCTTAATCAATAGAACACAGGTTTTAATTTTGTGTTTAAGTCTGTGATAAAACAAAGAAATCCTGTTGAAGTTGCACACTTTTAGGACTGGATTGTAAGTGCTGTGAATTGTCGGTGGGGCTTAGACACACCTGCTTTTCTCTGCAACCACCATTTCTGTAACGCCACTGAGAAAACAACATACCAGGAATGGGGAAGCTGTGACCCTTCAGGTGTTCTTGAACTGAAACTCCCATCAATCTCAACCAGCAAGGCCAATGATTATTTATGATGTAAGTGCCTCATCATCTGGAGGGTTACAGGCTCCCCATCCCTATCATATGATGTAATCGTGAATAGAAATATATTTTTGTTCGGAACAAGTTCAAAGCCAGAGTTTTGCCCTTGGTTATATGAATGACTTCTTGGCCGAATGACACTGGTAGGCTATGACTGCAAAGTTTAACTACCTGAAGGTAGTGTTCCAGAGCAGTAAGAAAGAAATGCAGACCTTTTTAAGGCAACCACAGAACTTCTGGATGTACTTGACTATTCCTAAATCACCTGTATGGATAGCATCCATCATATAGCTTAGTCACCTGGTGGCAATGGACTTAGCTATATCTGGATGGTGTCAAGGAGTTTCCTTGTTATCTATTGGGGGTGGGGGGCTAAACCCTACAAATTAATATATGGTAAGATTTTGATTATTTGCAATATTGAAGGGAAGATTGCAGGCCAGTGGAAAAAAGTACAGGCTAAGATTCCTTTCTAAGCCAGTGCCTCACGTGGGATAGAGGCATTAACATGACAAAAAGGTTTGATGGTCCATCTAGGAAGAATCTTGGGCCTGGGCAGATAGAGGTTGCCATGGTGGTGGGGTGTGCATTTCAAGTGACAGGAGAAAAAGAGACTTTAGAGCAAGGTGTGCTGAGAAGAGGGAGAAAAAAAAGACTGGGATCCATCTTGAGCAGGCTGGCTGAAGGCTGGGAGAGATGCCTTTAACTCCAGTGCTGCACTGCTGTGAGGAACAAGCCCCTCTTGCTGTAAGATTCGGACTCCCTCCATGCAGACTGAAGGTGTAAATATATGAATAAATCATATTTCTTAAAGCTATAACAGTCTCTGCTGTGTCTCCATTCTCCAAAGGAACACAGATTCCTTTGGGTGAGTGCCAGGAGCCCCCTGGAATCTTGCTACCACTTGGCAGAGAGTTGGGCTAGGACCCAACTTCCGTAACATCCTGATACATTCTTGTTTAAGAAAAATAATAAAGTTATTTTCTAGCTTTCAGACTGGTGTCCTCTGAGCCTTCCATGACAACCTTCATTTCTTAATATATTTTTCCCAAATATGCAAACGCCTTCTCCCCCTTGCATGATATGTTAAATTACATTGAAGCACTGAATTAAAGAATTTGACCAATAATAACTATTTCCCCCTGAGAAAAAATATTGGTGGGTATCCACAGATGCCATGGGAACCATTTACCAAAGCAGTCATCTATAGCATGTTTTCACTCCTGTAATTTCCTTGAATACATGTCTGAGGGTGGGGTAACAATCAGGGGACCCCAATAGATCTTTTCTGTAGGGACAGCTTTGATAGCTGAGATCAGGTTAGCTGGGAGCTGGCCCAATGAACACTTTCATTTCTCTTCTCAGATGGGAAGGTGCTAAGCTGCGGGAAGCTTTGAAGTTGCAGATTAGGTTGCTGACAGGTGCACTGATCCCCACTTTCAAAGGCATCCTTCCTTAGACGGAAGGCAGCCCAACTGATTATGCTGTCATCTCTCTCCTCCTCAGCTTGGGTAGAGGATGGGTGCAAGTTTGGTCCAGAGGTATCCCACCCATAGTTTAGCACTCTGGTTCCCTTTCTCCTGTCCTCTGTCTCTCATCCAGACAAGTACAACAGAGGTTTTCCCTATTAGGAGGGAATGCTGAATGCTCTATTAAGTACCTTCTGCATCCACTTATTTGGCTTCACACTCAAAGCTGTGGGTGATAAGAAAAGGAGCAGATGTCGGGAAATCACAAAAGCTTATTCTACTTAGCAATGGGATGGACGATTTGTTTCAAAGGACATATTCAAGGAATCTGGACCTTTGTTACCATAACTAAGGCACAATGAACAATAAGGTGGCCAACCTGTTTCTCAAATGCATTACTTCAGACTGCAAATGATAGCTCACAAGATTAAATGCTCCTCTATATATAAAAAATCCTTGCACTCAGAAAAGTAGATACCAGGGAGGATTTTAGTGAAGCCATCTGTCTTGACATATCAGTTTTCTATGTGCAGGTATAACATACCAATCAATAAATAAATTCCCTCATCTAAGTAGAACAGTTCAGAAAACAGGTCAGTTGCCTTGTCTACTATTTGTGAGAACTAGGCCTCGGAGTAAAAGGGAGATCATTTTGCCATCTTGCAGAAAAGCATCCATTGTTCCCTCTGAAAAGGAATGTCAAAGTCCGGGTAGAGGATCAGGGCTGTGTAGAATGCCTGGTAATATTGTGTTAAGTCAGTATTTGCACATTTGGATCTTAAATGTGAAATCAGGAAGTCTAAAAAAGTCATTTAACTGCAAGCAACCGTGTTCAGGCTATAAACATGGCATGGGGCACCTAAAAATGAGCTTTTTATTATAAACCCTGAAGGCAGTGCCAGGCTAACAATGCCACGTATCATTTAGTCCCCTGGTGGATCCCAGGTCTGCCTTAGAGGCAATTCAGAAAGATGGATCAAAGTAAGAGATGACTGGCTATTGCTGCTAGTGACCCAAAAAGGACAAAGGAGAGAAGAAAAGATAGGTGCGAGGTGACAAGGATTATATACGAGCCATTCAGAACTACAAAATGTTCTGTGTGCTGCAGTGTGTGCTGCCAATGAAAAGAAATCACCTAGGCTGTCGAATTTCAGAGGGGTAGACATCCAAGTGTGTTCAGGGTGAATTTTAGAAATCAAGCTCTGCTGAGCTACAAACTCATACATCCATGCTGTCCTCATTTTTCTGGTACCCATCCCTCCTAAATCACTGCGCCTATTTTACAATTGAGGGGCGGCTCTATGTTGTTTATGTGTGCACATGTGCACTAGCCACAACCCGCTTAGGGCCAAACTGCACATTACATTATTCACACTGAGCAGAGGGGATCGTGCTTAAAATCATTCTCGCAGTCCAGGTAGCCCCCCACCCAACAGTTTCCTGTAAATGAAACAGCCCCAAGGTGGCCTGAGACATTTTGAATGCTGAAGCCAAATATCCCACTGACAGCCCTGCAAGGGCTTCACCTCAACGAAAAATGCTTCAAGCATATCCAGAATGCCTCCCTCTCACAGGAAGCAGCAGTACATTTCTATCGTCAAGTTTTACATGCTACCATTTGGTTAACAATGCCACTGATGTATATGGAGGCATTCTTCATGAGCAGAGTTACTGCTTTTGGGGAGAAATGGAACAAAACAAAAATTGGCCTTCCAGAGCACAGACAAACAACATGGCGATGGGACTTTTCTTCTTCTTGTAAATTAGACGGAATGAAATTCAAATGAATGCTTTCTTCGTGTCAACATAAAGTGCTGTAAGTTCAGTGGCGTAGCGTGGGGGGTGCAAGGGGGGCCGGCCGCACCGGGCGCAACATCTGGGGGGGGCGCGCTCGCCGCCCCCGGAGTCGCCGAAGAGCCTCGGGCGCAGGCTGTAGCAGAGTCCCATGTCTCGCGGAACCAACGAGCTGGCAGCGGCTCTCAGCGCTCGCCGCGGAGGGCGCGCCAGGCAGCCCCTCCTCACAGCCCCGCCGCCGCCGCCGCTGCTGCAGCTGCTGCTGCAGCTGCTGGGCCATGTTGCATTTTCCTCACCTCTCTGCCCTCCTCCGCCTCCGGGCAAGCGGCGTCGTTTGGGCGGCAGCGCCAGCGGCAACTCGCCTCAGATCACCTGACGTGGCAGGTTAGGGGTTAGGGGGCGCAAATTACTTGCCTTGCCCCGGGTTAGGGGGCGCAAATTACTTGCCTTGCCCCGGGTGCTGACAACCCACGCTACGCCGCTGTGTAAGTTATCTAAACTGGAGGAACTCATCACTCAGAAGCAATGCTCTTTCCTGATAAAGGAAAGATGTGTTATCTCTTCTTAATGTATATTCAACTATTAACTCACAGTCACCACACCACTGCAAAATTAAGAAAATTCCATACCCTCCAATAGTTCTCTGTTAAAATAGGGACGTCCCATTCCATAATGATAAATTTACTATTTATACCCCACACACCCTACTGAGTTGCCCAAGCCACTCTGGGCAGCTTCCAACATATATAAAAACATAATAAAACATTAAGCATTTAAAAAAGACTTCCCTATACAAGATTGGCTTCCGATGGCTCAGGGGTCGGATAACTCCATACCCTCCAACATTTCTCCAATAAAAATAGGGACATCCTAAGGAAAAGTGGGATCAAATCAGAAACTGGGATGACTTCACTAAATCAGAGATGTCGCTGGAAAATAGGAACACTAGGAAGATCTGGAATTCTACTGGGGGAAAGTCAACAAACTTTCTGTGTTCTCTAGCCTTTAAAAGGCCAAAGCTTTAGCTTATATATTCTTTATTTGGTATGTATCCACAGATATGAAATTTTATGCACAGTTTTACTGTCCGCTAACCTGAGGCTGTAATGTCTCCAGTCCAAAGCCAGGCAGGACCATTGTTATCAGTGGGCTTATAATATGTATAAGGAACTATCATAGTGCAGAAACTTAGTTCAAAACAATTTCTCTTCTGGCTAGGTGCTGAATATAGCAGGTGGAATCTTCATGCATGTGGAAGCATGCTAGTCATCTGAAAACAGTCCATAAGGAACATATAAAGCTCAATGATGTCAGTGGGACTACTGATGAGTATATCTATACAGTTGCATCTTTATGTTGAAAGGCCTATCAAACTTGGGGCATTCTTCACACATATCTTTCTAAGGAATCTTTGCTGTATAAGCTAGACAAGATCCCATTACTTAGGTCATTATTTACACAGGATATATTTTAGTAGACCCTTGAATGTAGTTAATCTTACCTGCACCGCCTGGTGTTGTGTGTGCTTTGCAAACTTCCATATGTATAAACTTCTATCTGCAATAGGTAGTTGACAGCAAGGGGTGAAATATTTCGGTCCTACCCTCAGTGGCACTGGTTAATCATTAATACACCATTTTGATTAATTCCAAAACAATTACAGCCAACACCAATCTAGCTGCAACCGATTAATTCTGGACAGGAACATGAGCAGATCCCATCAAATGTCTTCATTTGAGCATAGCTCCACATAGATCACCACATATGCTTCTGGTTTTCTCAGTTAACCCACAGTCAACAATTAATTTTGTAGTATGCTAAGATAATGTGTTATGCATCCAAGGAGCAACCTTATCCTTAGATTATGCCCTGATTCTAACATTATGCTGCTATTTACAGCCTGAGCAGTATATACCAAGTCTGAGAGATGTGATCTTTGCAGGACAAGATTCAAATTTCACTTCCGTCACAAACCCTATCAAATGGCCTTATGCGAGTCACTGTTCTATCAACTTTTCACATCCTCATCTGCAATATGGAGAGAATATGGCTGACAGGACTTTGAGAGACTGATGTCCTACTTCAGACGTCATATTTCTGAATGAGCCACATGTTTGTTGCCACTTACTCCCCCCTCTCCCCGGTCACTTTCTTTTCCTTTCAAGCTCAGCTTACTGCAGTACTACCTATTTGGCCAATTCAGTTTGCCATGATACCCAAGGTGGAAAGCTGTAGTTTGAGTACTCCTTACAAACTTGAATGGCAAACAAATATTTCAATGTATTTAATTTACTTGTATTATTATTACATTTATGGCTCACCTATCCTCCAAAGAGGGCTCAGGGCAATAGGTGTGAATCTCCCCCTCCTCATTCCATCCTCACAACAACCATATGAAGTCATTTACACTGAAATAAACTGACTGGTCCAAGGTCACTCAGTGAGCCCCGTGGCTGAGTGGGGATTTGAACCCTGGTCTCCCAGGTCCTAGTCCAGCACTCTAACCACTACAGCATACTGAACCACTGAAATAGGCCCATGCATTTTTGAAGAAATGAAATGTGCTTTTTTTAAAAGAGAGAAAGACTGTGTTGGGCAAGATCATTCCCACCCCAAACCAGATTGATGAAGAATGAAACTGAGCTGTTTCCCATAATTTCAGAAAGAAAAGTGGGATCTGAACTTGGTCCTTTCTTTCTTTTCATGGCTGGGGCACACCTGTTCTGCCACCCAGTAAATGGAGAGGGAATGGAAGAGGATGTTTCGGGGATTGGGGTGGCTGGCTGGCTGGCTGGCTGGGAGAGCCAGAAGTTATTCTCTAGCTTGGATTTTAATTTGAGCTAGAGAGGTATGTTGAGGTTGCATCAGAAGCTTCTCAGAGAGCCTGGGATACCTTTGCTCGCACCTGTAAAATGCTCCTTCAGTTGCAATGTTATTTAACAGTTAATAACACATACAGGGCAAATCAGCATATAAACCAAACAGAAACCTATTGTTTAATGAGACACCTGGACGTGCTGCCAAACAATTGCTCCTTAATTCTAACAAGGTCAATTCTCTTTACATGCATTGTATTTCTGAAATACTGTAAATAAATAAGAGAGACAAAGAATGTGATGCAATCAGCTCTCTGCCACACAGCAGAACGGATCAGAGAAACAGAACATCTCTTCCCAAGCAAACCGTTCACTATCTTAAAACTTAGGCAGTGTGAAGATGGGCAGACTTTGTATCCTGGGGGTTGCCCTATAGCCTAGAATTTATAGCATCACACTCAAGTGTAACTAAGAAACGGAATACAAGGCAGGACACCCCATTTTTTCTTACGAGATCTCGGTGGCCATTTTGGGTGAGAGTGAGGTGCAGGCCGTGTGACTCTCCCAGCAGCATGTCTTGGAAGACGTGTGCCCCAGTTTTGACTATGCAGAAAAGTGTGGGCTCATTTTTAATCATTCCCATTAAGACGGATGAGGCAAATCCAAGCAGCTGCTGTTTGCAGATGTGGGGAGACAAAACTTGCTGCTTCCCTATGTATGGTCAGTTTAACTGCTGTATATTTTACATTCTCATATATAACCTAAAGGCTGGCATTCATAGTTATGGTGAAATGCTACACTGGGAGATACCAGTCCATCTTAATGGGAACAAATTAGCCTCAGAAACTCCAGGGAGAGCAATTGCAAAAGCAGGCAGAGGGAACCTGTGACCCTCCAGATATTTTTCAGCACCCATCACCCCTGACCATTGGGCCATGCAGACTTTTGGGAGTTGTAGTCAAACAACATCTAGAGGGCCAGAGGTTCTCTGCCCCTGCTACAGTTCTACTATGAGATCACTGCAATAGGCAAACCTTCGCTTTGCCCTTGGGTCATTATAAGAATGCATTCTTAACTTACAGGCCTCACAACTAGACAGCCAGGAATTACTTTGCTTCATGGCTGACTCAAGAGCATCTTGAAGTATCTGGATGGCTGCTAAGAAAGCAGAATACTGGCTGAGTTAGACCTCCGTCTCATCCAGAAAGGCACTGCTTATAGTCTCTCATAAACATAATTTTGCTATTAACTAAATGGCTCTGCTGGATTTATTCTTTAGAAACCAATAAATGCCACTAGTAAAACTGCTCCTTTTTCTACAAATAGCCCAACAATTGTGCTAAGGAAAGTTCAGTGTTACTTGCGCATTTCTAATGGATGGATGTGGGCCAGCCAAGTTAAACCTTTTTAAAAAGGGAAGTTTAAAAAAAAAGTGGGAAGTATCAGTTTGCAAGTATCAGAGATAATGAATTAGGGAGAAAGTCTCAATGCATCATCCAGAGAATTAAACACAAAATGGAAGCCTTTACAATTAGGACCAAGAGAGAAACAACATTCTTTTAACTAGAAATATCACACACTGCCAGTCTGTTAGAAATTGAACTGGCAACCTGGAAAATGAGCTTAAGCAAAATCAGATTGGAAGAGATCAGGCTGTAGGGATTCCTTAAAGTACAGAGGCAGGAGAACCTGTCACATCAATTCTAATTAGTGGATTAGGAAACAGCAGTGAATTAACTCTATATACCAATCTTCACTAAGGGATGACACAGTTGTCAAAGGAAGGCAATTGCTACAGAATGCATTTGCTCACTATTATGAGGGCTGTTGTGAAGATCCAAGTACTGAATTATGCTTTGTTATTACACATGGACAATGTGAAGCCTTGCAGAGGGCACAACATAAAGATGCTCCAGTCTTGAGGAACTTATGAAGCAGCAAAAGGAATCATAACACACATCACAGTAAGAAGAGCAAGCGATAACAGTATCACAGTATCACTGATATATTCCAAGTGACAGTTTAGGGTGTTGAAACGGCGGAAAATGCATCAGTGCCAAACCTGAGGCTGTTCCTGTCCCACCCTGCAGTTCTCGAAAAACATTCTCCCCTGAATTTTTTGCTGCTCTTTAAAACTTTTTGGTGGGTGGGAAGTTGCCACTTTCCTTACTAGGTCTCAGTGAGCCCTAATGAGACCTCTCTTCAGCAAGCAGAGGCAGTGGAAAGCTGAAGAAAACACCCTTGCACTGTTTCTCACCCTCCACACTTCCTCAGGACCTACAGGATCATGCACAACATGGGAACGCAGGAGGAATTCAGTGAGGCATGATCTTAGCTCAAGTGGTAAACACATGAGACTCTTAATCTTAGGGTCATAGTTTTGAGCCCCACGTTGGGCAAAAAGATCCCTGCATTGTAAGGGGTTGGAGGACCCTTCCAACTCTACAATTCTATGATTCCACGAAGTGGACACATCTGACTGCTCCAGTTTAATGTCGGGGTTGGGGCAAGAGTGCACTCGGGAACCAGCGCTTTATCATTTTCCCATTCCCATCCCATACAGGTATCCCCACATTTGCACGCAACCACATATGCAAATGGCGCTGGGAAATAAATAGAACCACACCAAGAAAGGGCAGGAGAGAGCTAGAGTGTCCTCGTGGCTCACAAGGAGACCCTCTCCGGAGCCCAAAGGGTATGTCAGTGCGGGAGGAGGAAGCCCCAAAGAGACAGGAGGCACAGCAGAGCTTTGTTTAGGCTGCTCAGCCTTCCCACCTATCAGCTGATACATGAGGAGCATCTTCCAACCTCCAGCAGACCCCAGAGCTTCAACTCTAGTTATTTTGGTCTGAAGTGGAGAGAGAGTGGGAGAGAACACTGGAGAGCAGGGGGGGAAATAAGCATTTAGAGGCTTTTTAGAGGGTGCTCTCCAAATATGTGATTTTTGCTTATGCACAGGGCCCCCCAGAATGTAAACCCAATTTTAACAGTGGGGTTAAATACACACACCTGTATTTCCTGTATCTGTATATGATTTGGTCTGAGGGCTGCCTGCCAGTCTTCTCTTCTTGTTTTTTGGCTTCAGGACAGTGATTGTATTGCTAACATTTCAGCACAGCTCTAGCCCGGATTTAGAGAACCTGTTGCCCTCCTATTACCCCTGGCTGTGGTGGTTGGAGTTTATGGGAGTCTAACCCTGCTCCAACCAAAACTCAACTCCAAATTATTTTGGGCTTTGGGAACTCAGAAAGGACAAACCATTACATATATTTAAGAAGTTGCACTTGGGATGAAGACAGATGCACCATAAAAAGAAAAGTCAGTGCCTTCTTCAGTCAAGTGGTAAACCTGACTCTGCAACTGAACTAATGGAGCTTATCTGGACTGAGGGGGAGTAAAGACTTATCCCTTGCCTTAGCCAAATACAGACGGTACAGGATGTTCCTGAGCTAACTGACTGCCCAAGAGCCAAGAGCATATGTTGTTGTTGTTGCTGTTGTTGTTTTAAAAAACAACCCCCCAAAACACTGAATATTTAAAATAGGAGCATAATTAATCGAGGATAATTGTAATCCCTTACCTGGAATTAAACTATCTATTTCACCACAGCTTTGGATGCCAGCTTTGCGGACTGCCAACCAGACAGACACACATGTCACATATGAAAATCCCTGCCAGGTGAGTTTTAGTTGATGACCTCATATTAGGAATATTCAGGCAAATTATAAAAACTTTTGTCCAGGTTTTAGGGACTTAGACGAAGTTGGTTGATAAATACTTTTTTTGGTTTTGTGGTTATCTTATGTTTTTAATAGTATTGTTATGTAAACTTTTAAGATATTAGCTGCTGTTTGGAGGAAGGACAGGGTATAACAATGATGTAATGAATCCTATATAATAAATATGATATAGAAAGACACACACATATGCAAACTGCATGTATATAATACACACACATAAAAATGCACAGTATGTATATATGTGTATGTGACACAGAAAAATTAACTCTAAACTAAGCAAGAATTTCAATGAAAGCTACCTTGACTTGAAGACCAATCAAATACTGCAAGCGGGGGAGGGGTGAGGATTGTATTTGGAGTGTTTAATCCAGATCTAGAAAACAGCACATGGTATGGTGAAAGCAAATTATGCAGCCACATAATTAAGAAAGCTGAAAACTGTTGTGTGTGACACGACCCCCCCCCCCCACATGACAAGAATAAGGTTGTGTAATTTCACTCTTTGTTTGAACCTAGATTCTCTCATCTGGCACTGAGGTATAGTATATATGAGAGAGACTTATCCATATGCACCTGTACTCACATGTAGCCCTTTAACTTAACAAATAACATGGGAGAGGGGTAAAGAAACAATACAATAATTCAAATGCTGAGGTCGCTTTTTGTTGGCAAATAAACATATTTAATATTTGGTATGTTATCATGTGCTACTTCAGCTTTTTGCAGGCAAAAGAGAGAGAGAGGAGATGGATATTGTTTGCCACTGACGTTCTCCTCAGAGTACCACTAATGGTAGTGCAGGTTGCGTTAGTTTCAAGCATTTGTGGGAAGTATATTGTGCTTTTTTGTGGCTGAGGAAAGATAAGTGGATGTTGAGACCACAAGAGGAGATTAGGGATTCTATGCTTGTACTGCTAATAAATCACACTCTGCCCACTGATTTGCAAGACCAAATTACATTTCGGAAACTCTGGGGAGCCAACATTGGGTGGAAGGAGGTGATGATTGCCTGCACAGTCAGTGCTTAGAAAAGTCTAATGCGAATAATCTGGACAGGACATTGGAGCTCTTTTCTGAGTAATTGGGAGTGCAACTGGCAGTTTTTGCCCTCACCATTTGGTACACTGGAAGCCTGTAATCCTGTGGGAAGGTGTCCATTATTAAATTCCTTCCCATATCAGAACAGATATTCTTGGGACACTAGAGCAATGATGGCCAAATCAACAATGACCACCACACTGTGAAGTCCTGCATGACTAGACTTCCAACATTATCGCAATTCATTAGGAGGAGACATACTGCCATGGCTCCCTCTCTGCTAAAGGCAGCATCAGCTAGCACCCTACATTTCCACACATTTCTGAAAGAGTGCAGGTAAACTATGCTAGACTCACTGCATGGCCAGAACTTACAAATAACCTATTCTCTATATAGCTGGAATTCTGCTACATAGGCAGTAGAAGATGATTTGTTCTTACTAAACAGAAGCATTTAAGCAGTGAAAATACAAGTGTCTAGTTCCACCCTTAGAAAGCGTAACAAAATTACTTAGTTAGATACTTGGTGTGATTCAATAAAAGAGAGGAAGCTTTTTTGATGACTTGTGAAGATGCTGAATGGCAAAATGTAAGCATAACACCAGAAGTGGATAGCATGATGGGGCAGAGGTGCTTTTCTGATCTCCTGGAAGGCAAGTCAGCACAGTGTAAATGCAGCAGCAGGAAGGCTAAACTGGTGGCCTCTCTGCTGCCTTGCCTGCTTCTCAGTATCAAGCAACAACTCAGTTGCTAGGAAGATATGAGCCTCCACCCCACAACACCATTTTCAAAAAAGGTAAAGGACCCCTGACAGTTAAGTCCAGTCGTGAACAACTGGGGTTGCGGCGCTCATCTCGCTTTACTGGCCAAGGGAGACGACGTTTGTCCACAGACAGTTTTTCCGGGTCATGTGGCCAGCATGACTAAGCCGCTTCTGGTGAAACCAGAGCAGCGCATGGAAACTCTGTTTACCTCCCCGCCGGAGCAGTACCTATTTATCTACTTGCACTCTGACGCGCTTTTGAACCGCTAGGTTGGCAGGAACAACACCATTAGACCAGCACAATTTGCTATATGAGTTCATGAAAACCAGCACTCAGCCAGCCCCTTCCCTTATGCAAAGCCTACCTTGCACAATAATGGGGAGCCTTTGCAGAAAGCCTCCATTCCTCCCTAGAATACTGAACACTGAAACATCAGCTTCCCAGGTATCTGGAGCCCTGGGAAATGTAACTTGCCAGAACCTCTAAATATTTACAATGGGCATGAGGAGCTCAGGTGCACTGATGGGAAACTACATTGCCCATGGTCCTTGGTGCCTTTCAACACTATTGTTTTGGTGCTCAAGGTAGCAGGTAGAAATGGAGGTTTCACCAAAAGGCCTCTTGCAAAACAACCCTATCAGTGCTGCCTGGGTGGCTTTTGAGAAGGAAACAGGGTGGCAGAGAAAAGCTCAGCAGAACTGGATTTGGTGTTTTGGCCCTGCTGCACTACAGATAACATTGTGTGGGTCATGGCAGGGTCTGTATTGTGTTAAAAAATGAAATGAATTATTTTCCATAAATAAGACCAATTAGGCCAGCCCATTCCAAATTCAGCCTGGAGGGGGGAGGTTCACCCATTATTACAAGTACATAATTTTGTTACCCATTAAAAAAAATATCCCTTTTATGGCATACGGTGCTTGTCTTTGTTACAGCACCATTTAACAATGGTACTTAGTTGTATAACCAGAGAAGACAATTCTCATCTTAACTAAAGGGAAAGTGTTTTCCTGTTCAAATGTTTCTAATCTACTATTTCAGTCATCCACACCATTTGTTTCAATAGTTTCAATACTGAATTTTAAATTGTTGTAACCTGCCCTGGGACAGGATGTTGAAAGGTGGGCAATGAATTGAATTAACAGCAGCAGCAACAGCAGCAGCAGCAGCAACAACAACTTGTAAAGGAACAAAACATTAGGAAATGGGCCACCAGTGGGCAGATGCTGTTAGAGGATGTTCTGGCTTATTGAGATAGAATTTTTGGTTTAGTGTTAGCGCAGCGGAAGTCTCTGTTATGGCTAGGGAAAAGAATGGTAAATTGGCAGCATAGATCATCAGGACAGAGTTGCAGAGCATCATCAGACAGGGAAAGAAAACAATCCCTTGGATTTAAAACATTTCACCTGAGTTTAGTGGAGATTATCACTTCCAACCATCTTTTTTTGTATTCCTTCTGGGAATGTGACCTGTCACTGCTTTCCCCCCTAGAAAAATAGGTGCTCTACTCACCATGAAATTGTAACAGTAAGTGCCACACTTTTTAACAACAAAAAAGAGGTCTGGGTACTTCATACCTTTGAGTACCCCCTGAAAAAAGCACTGTGACTTGTGTCCTTTCAATGCATCCACACCCATCACGAGGGGTATGAAATTTAACAGTGAACTGAAACTCCCTTCCCATTTTTTCAGTCTCGTCTGTTATCTCCAGACTCCTCCCTGCAAGGGGAAGGTTTTCATTTGCTTTTTTGAGAGCATGAAGAAGAGAGATTTCTGTTAATTTCAGTGTGTGTGTTTGGCTTACCTAACTGTAAGGGGACAAGGCTGAGGTTTCTTCCCCTCACTTCCACTTTTTACACTTTAAGAAAAAAGTCTGCATTTTGTCATGTCACTATCACAACCCAGTGTTGCATTGTGCAGGTGCACAAATAAGAAGAAACTGATATGTGGCTCTGTTGCAGTTGCCCTGTGGAGAATTCATATGAAATGACCACACTGCAAATGCTTGCCCAAAACGCATGAAATGGTAAACAGTTTAAATCTGTTGTGTTTTTGTTTAGATGTGTTTTTTTAACCTGGGTTCAGACTTATAATTAAATGAGAATTTTACCTACCAAAGAGCAACACAGCCTGCAGATCTCTTCATTTAAGGAAGAGTTTATCCTACGTAGCAAAGTTCTGAAATAGCACAACTTGAAGATGTTCAAGGATGACTTTCATGACATGTTTATTTACCCCCTCAAAATTTTAACCTGCAATGGCAAACGTGCCCCACCCACTAACAAACAATAAATGGAAACCTGCACTTTTGCTCAGGGATTCAAAACTAGTTTAAATGGCATTGAATCATTTCCAAATCCTCAAGTGACCATTTTAAATAGCTGAAATAAGTTCCAGCCACTGAAATCAATGGCTGGGTCTCCATATTCACTATGGCCAACTCTCTCTCTCCCATTGCAAAGGGGCAGAGGATAAGTTAGGCATTTGTTCTTTCTTTGTTTGCCTTTTTGCAAGGTTTCAGAGGGTTTTCATGGGTATTTTTGTCACTTTGGGGGCAAAATTCTGTGGCTGGGAAATTTCCCCAGAGGAATCAATGGAAATTTTTGACTCATTATGCGAATGCTTGCCTAACAAATGATTTTCTGGATAAGGCTTTGAGTTCAGCTAGTGAGACCTGCATGCATACCTGTTCCACAACAGTTGCACTGTTGGGGGCACAATTCAGAATTGGTGATTACTTTTTAAGCCTTAAATGGCTTAGATTTGGAATACAGTGGTACCTCAGGTTACATATGCTTCAGGTTACAGACTCTGCTAACCCAGAAATAGTACCTCGGGTTAAGAACTTTGCTTCAGGATTAGAACAGAAATCGTGCTCCGGCGGCGCGGAAGCAGCAGGAGGCCCCATTAGCTAAAGTGGTGCTTCAGGTTAAGAACAGTTTCAGGTTAAGGACGGACCTCTGGAACGAATTAAGTACTTAACCCGAGGTACCACTGTAATTGACTGCAATCCCCCTCCTGCTCATGGCTGAGGCACAATTGGTTGGGGGCAAGAGGCCATTTCTGTGGTTTCATCTAGATTATTGAATAGTACCTAGAGCCCCTTCAGCCTTCCAATTGTTTACCACCCAGTTAAAACTTTCAGCAGGCATTTGTCTGCAGGACAGAAGCTTTTTACAAATTTGGTAGACCCTCATTTTAGAATATTTTTTGTTGCTGAACTTGCATCCATCATATGTTGCTGCTTTATGTATTTTATTTGTTTTATTCACTGCTTTTTTATCTAGAAAAATAGGTGCTAGTACTCACCACAAAGTTGTTACAGTAAGTGCAACACTTTTCAACAACAACAACAACAGCAACAACAACAAGGTGCCGGTACTGCATATTCTTGAGTACCCCCTGGGGGAAAAAGAGCTGGTTTTATTGAAAGCCACATCAATTGATGCAAATGCCACCAAAGGCTGGGGCCTATTTTTTAAAAAGAAAAAAGATCACACTGTGAAAAAAACCAAGTGCAAGAATTATATAAGTTAAAAAGTGAAATATTGTACCTATTTAACAACAGTGTCCTATTACCACTGAATTTGACCTGCACATCGATTTAAGAAATAATTCCTGATGGAGGCAACTGTTAAAGCCAACTAGCTGATTTTGTAAACGCACACACCAGTCTTTAGATGATGTATATCAATGCACTCACTTTTTAGGAAACTTTCTAAAATATATTTAATTGACTTCAAAGCAGCATCTGCTGCATTTAAATCAGGAGTTAATTTTAAGCTCTCTAGACATCCAAGTCTTACTGTCATAAGAATGCAATATTGTATTTTACAGCAGTTAACTTACTATGCTCCCCTCCTATGCTTCACCATACAACTAGACTGTATTTCATGCTGACATGTGCTGCTTGAACAGGTGCAGACTTCAACAGAAATTTCTCCTAGGGCTACTCGTCCTGAGAATACTGTATGTGTCTTGAATCTTGGAATTGTGTGTAAGCAAAACCATAAATCAGCTACCAGACGTCTCTGTGAATCAGATGTTGTGTCGGTTCGAAACACGTGCAACTGTACAGCTGTGCAAAACGGGAATTAAAACTCTCTCTTGTGCTTGTTTAAAGATGGGATAGAAATCTCCATTGCAGGTCAAGTTACATGATACCCTATCTGTAAACTGACTCCTAAAGAAAAGAGCTCTTCCAAAGAACTGTGCGCGCCAAAGTATGTCAAAGCTATGGTCTTAGAAGACTGACTTATTTATGGTCAAATTGTCATTCATTCATTTTGTAGGTCAACAGAGGCACACTTCTTTTGGGTGCTTTCCTCCCACTATGCCCCACAAATTCACACAGTTATCATTACACTCTTTTAAAACTGTTATACCATGGATTGACAATATAATGAAATCATACAGCTGATGAGGGGGAATAGTTTCTGCTATCAGTGGAGAAATGAAAGGTGAAGCCTATACAGTGGTACCTCGGGTTAAGTACTTAATTCGTTCTGGTGGTCCGTTCTTAACCTGAAACTGTTCTTAACCTGAAGCACCACTTTAGCTAATGGGGCCTCCTGCTGCTGCTGCGCCGCCGGAGCACGATTTCTGTTCTTATCCTGAAGCAAAGATCTTAACCCAAGGTAATATTTCTGGGTTAGCGGAGTCTGTAACCTGAAGCGTATGTAACCCGAGGTACCACTGTATAATATTTTTCACTCTTTTGAGGAGGATGGAGACTATTAGCTTTCCTAAAGACGTGTCAGGGCAGCGAGGAAGTAGGGCTTCCAAACAGAATACAGCAGCTCAGTCTCAAGACCAAGGAGTGAGGGCCAAGCCAGGTGGGCCATTATTGGCTCATCAGGACACCTAACCCTGTTGGGCTTGAAAGCTGAAGCACACTGCCCAGCCATTTGCAGAAGTTGAACTGTAGAGCAAAAGATTTGGTTCATCATTCCTTTTGCATGCAATTAGCCCAAGTGGTGCAGGTACTGTGGCACACTGGGCCCCAAAGTCCCAGATGTAAGACCCCCACAAAGGCTTACAACAGGAGAAATATACACACTATCACAACTTCAGTCTTTTGCCAAGACTTCAGCAATCCTTTCAAATGATGAAGGCGGAGAACCAGTCTGTAGGCTACATGGTTTCATACTGGGAATTATTCCTCTCTCCTAAAGGGTTCACATTCCCACCCTATGTGTATACTGGGCCTCCCAGTATTGTTCTGTGATAACCCTAAAAGCCAAATCTAACCACAGTGTTTCTATCCTTACCTATTCTTACACATATCCCACTTGAATGATTCTCCACATCAGACCATATTCCTGGAATATTAAAACCAGATAATGATCAACGTAGTCATATGCTGATGCTTCTGTCTCAATATATAGTATTTATTTCAGACTCTGTAAACACACCCTTCCTCTGTTTAGCAAGAATTTAGAACTGTTTTGGATTTTCATTCCTCGAAATATTTAAAACCAATTGTGTTTTAAACTCCAAGGACTCAATCATCTATTCTGACCTTCAGTCATAGCTGTTATTTTCTCATAGCAAGCTATAGCTTCTATAAATTAACAGACCATCGATTGCTTTTACTGCTTTTATATGCCTGCAGGGCTTTGTTCCATTTCCCCCACTCTAGTATGAGCACTGCTGATATTGATTCTGTTTATTCTCTACAACACACTCTTTTTTGCTGTCCCCCTTCACTCAAGCATGTTGGTCTTAAGAACTCATTTATAGGGATACAAAATAAATTTTAAGCAGTTGTGATCTAAAGGAATCTTGATAGCAGATTAACAATCACAGGGTTTTTATTGAGATAATAGGGTGAATGCAGTATATCCCACATCTTTGACAACTTGGCCATTGAAGTGTCATATAAACACAATGCTTTTCTTTTAAACCTGAAAAGTAAACGACAACTGTACACACACAAAAATAATTTGTGCTCATAATTTTGCATAAAGTCTTGGGGAAGATCTTTCAGCAAAGCAATACTGAAATAAAAAGAATATGCTCCAGCTTTTTCAAATAGAATTTCTTTTCCTATCAGATGAAACGTCTAACATTTGACTTGAAAACATCAAATCCACAGTTGCACCCAAATCAGTGCTTCTTTCTTGTTAAAAAGGAGTACATAAGAACACTGTTCAGAAACAAGTTGTTTTTCAAATGAAAGAAAAAATTCAACAGTAAGAAGTTCAGCATGAACAGGAAAAAACATATTTGTTTTGTGTTTTCTTGATTTGTAGCTTTGTTGAATGTGACATATTAGCTGTCAGGGTACAAGCAATTCAATAAGCAGTAGCAGTTCTATGAGAAGGCAAATTCTCCGACTGTCAATCATATCTCCACAGGAGGGAGTTCCATAATTAGGGGACTTCCAGGTGTTACCACCAAACAGGTAAGGCTTATTGGCATCACCACCAAGAGGCCTCCCACACTGTTCTCAAAGGCCATGTTGGGACATACTGGAAAACGTACTCCATCAAATATTTTGTCTCCCCTCCAAGATATTGGGTTTTGTTTTGTTTATGTTTTTGTATTTCTGCAAGCTTTGGAATTCCCCCATTCCCCCCAGCCTGCCAATATCTCATGTGTGGATTGGAAATATGTGGAATTTGGGCTACCTAAGAATCCACATTCAAAGGAGTTTGCTATTAGTATATATAATTACAGTAAGATTTTGCACTATTAGGAGACATTGGTTGATGACAAAAACCCTGAATCATACCCTCGAGTGAATTATGGGAATGCCTCCAACATAAATTTAAAATGTTCATGTTTACAGAGATCATATAGTAGTTTTAAACATATATTTTCCAGTGCTGTTTACTTGATTTCTCAACACACTTTTGTGATTACTGTAAAAATACAGGCAGACTTAGTATGATCCACATGATCCAAAGATATGGCTTTGACATCTGTCTGTCAACAGAGTCAGAATTTGAGCATGGCAATGAGTGGGACATTTTGCATGCCCATATCACAGGGATGGGGAACCTGTGACCCTTCAGGTGTTGATTGACTCCCAACTCTCATTAATCCCAGCCAGCATGGCAAATGGACAGAGATGGCAGGAATTATGCCCCAACAATATCTGGTGGGTCACAGATTCCCCATCCTTGACATATTGTATGCATTCCCATAATCAGTTGTATGAGAGTCTGGACAAATGGTAAATCCACTTAGATGAGCAGGAAAGTCAACAGAGACAGAAAAGAAACCACAACAGTGATAACATAAGCCAACTTCTTCATTTGCATTTGAGACCTGATGGAATGACAAGTCAAGCTGCGTCCCCCACTTCTGCTCTTTCTTCTCACCATGCAGCCAATATTTAGTGAATACAGAACATGCAGAGTAAATGCTTTCACACATTTAATGTCATGTATAGTTTGGTTCTCAGTACAGAAGCCAAAAGTAAATTTGTAATCATAAATGGAGACAGTGTTCTCTTTCTGTGGCCTGGTAGCAAAACACTAAACATGTTAGCTTTAAATCTGTGTACTTTTTGAATGGGAATATGTTTATGTTTTTATTTCATTCCATTTACTGCCTTAATTTAAGAGCACAGCTTGTCTTGCTCATAAACCCTAGCAAAGCAGGAGACCAAGTGCCAGAACGAAGTATTACAAAACACAACAGCCATCCTCACACAAAAGAGCAATTGGCATATAAAGACTGGCATATAAAGTGGTTCCTAGGTCACCAACCAGATGATGACCTCATGTGCCTCCAGACCACAGGTGATACCCAACCAAGTCATACTCAAGAGTGAAATCAATGAACATCAGTCAAATCCCTTTCTTTCAATGGATCAACGTTAGTATGACTAACACTGGATCTTACACCATATCCTGAGATCCGAATACTTTATTTCCTGCACACTGTGTGACTTGAACTTGCTACAAAATAGCGCCATACTGCCAAAGCTGGGATATTTCACGTGATCATTTGTCTTATTTTTGCTTTCAGAGCTCTGTATATTCAGCTGCTAGAGACACACATCCAGTTTTCACTGCAGGTGGTAAACCTGTGTTACTACTTCAAGATTGCAGGGGTGGAAGGGGGGCTCAACATGATTGAATGCTCCTCCAGTGCACATAAATTTCCTCCACCTTGAGAACTGGCATGTCAGGGAGATGTAGAGTTCTAGCATAGCCTTCTCAGTCTTTGCATGTGGGCTCTTTTTTTATTTTTTTTGCTGTTGTTAGGAAGGTGCATGTGAAGATCCCACCTGCATTCTGATGGATTACAGCCAGGACAGATTTACAATCTCAGTGAAAAATAGGCCTTAGACAAATGTCTGTAAATTACTGTCCATTAAAATGAGCATATCGACAAACAAATATAGATTATAAGATTCATATACTTGTCAGTAAAGAACTGCTCCTGTAGGTTCTGCCTTTCTGTAACTTACAGGTGTACGAAAGCTGGACATGAATGGCATTCCATTAAATGTCAGTTTAATGCCCTCCCCACAACAAGTGCTGGACGATAGGGAACATCAAGTGAATTAATTAATGCATATGACTATTTACCAAGAGGCAGTTTACCAAGCTGTGCATGCAGCTGCATGATAAACTGGTCACCTGTATCATCTTGCTAACACTGCATTAAATATCTTTTGTTTCAGTGGTTTACGGTTGTATTAAAATGTGTTTATTGTTATTTGAAATTCTTCCAGAGAACTTGGTGATTGGGTGGCCTACAAATACAAGCAACGACCGATGGATGTGCAATTGCACACATACGCCCGGGGCCAAACCAGGAAGTAACCCTAAAACATCACTAAAATAGCAGAATGGGGGTGGAACGGGGGCAGGGAGGGAAGGGGCAGAACGGGGGCGGGCAGAACGCTTTACGCGGGCCCCACCAACATGCATTGGGGTCCAGAAAGTAACTCCTGTGGAAAAAACCATGGATTGCCTGTAGTGTCATAAATAAAGTTGTCAGAGCTATGGTGAAGGCTGACACAAAGAGTAGCCAGAGCAGGGTGATGGACTCTTGCTCCTTGCCCCTAGCACAACTTAGATTTCTAGGTAGAATCACAAAAACTAAGTACCATCGGGATGGTGAATAAGTGGCCCTCCAGATACTATTAGGACTGAAACCCCTATCATTCCTGACCACCAACCAGGCAACATCTGGAGAACCACAGGTTCCCCCACTCCTGAGTGCCCAGAGAAACTATTTCCCCCAGATGTGTGAAGGACCTTCCACACTGCCTTGCGCTCCTTCGAGGAAAGACAAAATATAAAAGTAACAATAAGGTGTACTGACCATCATTTTTTTTTGTCATCTCTAGAATAAGTCTTGATCAGCTTGCCAACATCTGGCCTCCCAAAAACAAGTCTGCCTTTCAGTCCAACTGCCAAGAAAAGAACTAGATGTGATGAGGCAGTTACACATATTTATTTAAAGCAGGTAGCACCATCTGTTTTTCTACATGAAACAGAGCAAACAAGGGAATGGAATGAAATCACTGCCTCCCTGCTCTGCCTTGTTACGCTTGTGCCCCATAAGCCTGGGGCAATTTTACTCCAGTCCAGCTTGGATACTACAGCTGAGCTAGACTAAGGGCCTAACTACATTGCTTTTGGTCACCTGTGCCCCAAGTTATTTGATGAACAGAGGCTAGAGCTCTATTTTGGGAGGCTAGAGCCCTATTTGGGTGTTCCCGCCACAAGATTAACAATTGTGTGAAGGGATGAGTGGGGCTCTGCCTGCCTGCCGCACCCAGCAGCCCTTGGAATCCATGAGTTGGGCAAAAGAAATGTTTGTACAAGGTAAGTCGCCTGTTTGTGCCTAGGCTCCACTCCACAACACAGAACCCTAATTCCACACTAGGAGCAGGGGAAGCCTAGGTGCATGTAGCAAGCTACCTTCTGCAGACATCTCCCTTTCCAATTCATAAGATGAAGCAACACAGAGTGGGTGCAGCCTCTGGGCACAGTTCTGCTCTCCCCACTATGCAATTAACTACTTGGTTCCTTTTGTGCCATGCTTTTGAAGGCACTCAAAAAAAATGAGCAAGAAGGATATTCTCCATTACTTCCAAGTGCCTGCAAATCCAGTGTGAAGTGAAGAAATAACATTACTCTTCTTGAAGCCCTCTGTACATGTTTGAGAATTTAGCAGAGGGGAGTCTCTCCCCCATCTCTCCTGGCATATCTTTCCCTCATTAAACCACATTTGTCTCTGGAGTTGTTAGGGTCCTCCAGGATTATGTGACTAGATTTTTCTGAATGTGCAGACAGCTCTTAAGGCTCCACTGTATTACTTATGACCGAGGTCAACGTGCTATTAAAAGCAAGAAGAAATCCATGTTTAAATTGAAGGTATGTTTCAATGAGCACAGCTCCATTCAAATACCATTTCTGGAATCCTGTGGGAAAACTCTTTAACACATTATGAAGTTGCAAGGAAAAGGGAATTCTATGACAAAATTAAATGTCAACACACCCCAGCACGTGTACACTGTGTACACACACAGAGCAACTTGTATGTACAAACTTCATTCATTATGATCTGCACACAATACTTGAATTAGTCCCTGTTAAAAATGCCATCCTTTAAAAAAAAAGCATTGTGTGAAGCTGCAGTCAGTGTTTAACAATAGACTTGACACAGAGCAGAATCAATAAATACCTGTTAAATTGAATCTGTGTGATACTATGAATGAATGACACATCATAGTGAAAGGGATGGGGGGGCAGTCAGGTCCTATATCTGAAAGATCTTGAAGTGTAACAAAAGACAAGAAATATAAAACAGGCCAGTTCAAGTAACTTAAGTGCTTGGAGATGAAACTAAAAAACAACACAAAACGAAGAAGATGCTTTGCAAAGGACTTGGTAGACAAGCGACTCTAAATGTGAATGTGTAATTCTGTGCACACCTGAGTACAGCATTTCCCAATCGCATTTAATAAATGCTCATATATATATATATATATACGGAAAAGACATCTGAAAATGTATTGGACTTTGGCATCTTTATTGCTTCACCAGCACATAATACTACCTTTGTTACTAATTTACCTATTGACTTCGGCGCAGCCGTCTGCAATGTTTAATCTAGCAGCGATTCTATTATGTTAAGTATATTCTAAAGATTATCCAGTAGTGCTTTGAGAAAGCATGGAATTTTATAAAAACATGAAAGGTTTTCAACAATGTTCTAAGCAGCCAAAAATGATGGCATTCTAGCAAAACAACAGCCACCTATTACTAGTAACCTGGAGTGAGTACAATTCTCTCCTTTACCATAATTTAAACATTATCTGCCTTACGCTATGTCAACAGATGGTGGTTTTATTGATCAGTTTTACGAGTTATTTCAAGAAACCAAAAGCCTATACGTTTAGCACCTAGACATATGCCAGAACCACTCTGCTTCAGTAAGGTCTATAGACATTCCATGTGTGTATCTTTCATTTCCTTTGTCCCCGATATTGCTCTTAACATGCAGTTTGCCACCGAGGTTGTGTTTCAAAGGAGTTTCGCTCTCCACCCCAGTATAGCTGCATTTGTGGTCCATGTGGAGAACTGGCTTCCTTTCTATCAAGCCAGCCCCCAACTCAGGCGCACAATGGGTGTGTTGTGCTCCGTGTGTGCCTGAGTGTGGGTCTGTGGGAGCTCTTTGAAAAGGAGGTGTGAACTGTTTCTCTCCTACCTTACTCGCCTCTTAACAGCACAGCCATCAGAAACTAATCAAACACAGCAACGGGGCGTGCAGCCCACAAGACGAGTGCAAACGCCTCTTTTCCCTTATGACCTACATACTACAACAATGCAATGCAATGCAATGCAAGAGCCGTGGTGGAGAGGGCAAGGGGTGGCCGGTGCTCTTCCAATCTAGTTATATAGCAACATTCACACGGGGCAGAATGTCAACACCGCAATATAGAGGGGTTTCAAGGGCTTCAGATGGTTATACTTTTAAAAACTCTCCCCAAGTCCTGGGGCATACTGATGATTTCCTAGAGTTGGGACAGTGGTCTACAAAAGAAGACACCCCCCCATGCACATCATCATCTCTGAATGTGGAAACGAAGTGAGAGGGGGCAGTTAACACAGATCCCAACAGCAACTGCTCGCTTGCAGTAGTAGCCCAAGCCTGACAGTTCGATTATCTGTTTTACTGAAAGAAAGGCTCTCTCCACGTTACACATCAAAATAAATAATCGCCCGGGCAATTGAATGTAAAGTCAACATGGACGGCTTTTTTTCTCTTTTTTAGAACTTAATGCAAGCGAAATATATACATACAGACATATACCACTAGGGTCTTCAGGGCTACGAACTGGAAGCAGGCGAACAAAAGCTTACCTTTCTCGCCGAGCAGCTCAGGCGCGCGCGAGCAGCAGCAGCAACCTCCTTCCCCGACTAAATCCACAGCCAGATGCTCCCAAGACAGCAATCTGTTAATAGGAAGTGCATACAAACCTGAGAGGGCTTTTTTTTTTTTTTACACTTACACACACACACACACACACACACACACACACACACACCACAAGACAGAGCTCGTCTTGAGCTGCACACCTGCTTGCTTGCTTGCTTGCTTGCAGCCAGGGGTGTGTTTTGCATGAAGCGACGGCGGCAGCAGCAGCAGCAGCAAGGCAGCGTGCAGGATCAATGTTGTGAGGAGAGGGCAACACCCTTCTTTTGGGTCACCAGCTCGCGCTCTGAGAGCCCAGCCGGCGAGCTGTGGAGATAACTGCAGAGGAGCCTCGCTTCCCACCCAGCCCCCACCCCAACAAGACGCGCACACGCGCGCGCACACACACACAAAAAGCAGCCCCTGCCCGCGCGCGAGACTGAGATATGTACCCTTTATCACGCTGCATTCCACCTTTTCTCAGCTGGGGGTGGTGGGGGGGGGGGGAGGAGAGCAGCGGCGATAGGCAGCTTGTCAAAATGGCAGCTGGGAGGCATTCCCGGCTCTATTAATTAGACCCATAATGGGCTCGTTTCTTCAGTTTCCTCGCAATAAATTACGCCCCCCCCCCGCGCTTTGTGTACTCCACGCTAAAGCCCAGCATAATATGCTAACACTCTCTTTACTCCCCTCCCCCCCCCGCCCGCAAAATGGCTGGTCCTTTCAGCACTGCTGCAGACAGCTCATTGGGTTCCACTAGCTTTCTGTAGCCATGGCAACAACCAACAGACTTATCCACCAAGCATGGTTGATCATGTGCGGATCTCATCCCCCCCCCCCAACACAGGAGGTTAATTGCTGTTTGTCTTATAAGTACCGGGAAAGGGGGTGGGTGTTCACGCAGATATTGCCAATCTCCCATTAATTAGACGCGACGGAGATTTTGGGTCGTTTGCTCCAAACCTAGGTGGAGTTGGGCAATGTTAGAGCCCTATCCTATGGGCAGCATAAAATAATAAATGCCAGTGTTAACACACTGTCTGAAACTAGCTTTCTTTCTTTCTCTTTTTGTCTTCTTCCTCGTCCCTTTCTCTTTCTCTTCTTCCTCCCTCCTCTCCTCCCTCTTTCTCTTTCATTATTGTATGAAGTGGCAAGTGTAGAAAATTGGCCAGAGGCTTGTAAAATGTTTATAAGGCGATTGTCTGCTTATTCTGAAGCTCCCTCTTTATGTCTGTTGGAATCCCCTTGTTTATTGAAATGCCTATCTAACTATTATCAACAATAATACTTTTTTCAGAGCAACTTCGCTGTGACCACTCTTTGAATGGTCTTCCATAAATGTGGGATGGTGGGGCAAGGGGGAGGGAATCAATAGTATCCAGTATTCATCCTAAAAGTGTAAATCAAGAGATCTTAACATTTGTTGCCTTCAATGTGGAATGTAGACAGAATGTTACAAGCACTGTTATTTCGGAGTTCCACCATTGTTTTTCCAGCAAGGCCTTTAATGGCTGGTCTCCAATGCATTCAACAAATGAAGCTTTTTATCTTGGGACAGAGATGCAGAGATGGAAATGGCTCCACCTTTAGAATTTCTGTGTTATCTCGTATAAGTATTTATCACATATTTGGTGAGTTCTGCACAGCTGAGAGATCGGTGGGGATACTGAAGGATATTATGTGAGTTTGCATAAAACTTATTGACATGCCTAGTGGCTGTTGCACATCTCTTCTCAGAGCTTACATCCTGCCATATAGTGCCTTATTCTGCAGTTGTACATACTTTATATCCCAATTAGATGTTCCTGCTGACTTGTAGCAGTCTGAACTTTGTATGGTTGCACCAATGCTACATTAGGACACCACAACATTTTTGTTTTAAAAATGGTAGACACACAGTGCTTTCCTTCTCTTTTTTTGTTTTGGTAAAACGGAGGTGCCAGTGCTCATATATTGATAAAAATGCATTTTTATTAAGAAGTGGCTGCCATAGGCAGCAAAGAAAGAGGTGCTGAGTAGACATATTTTTATAGCTATGTCAAGCATTTGTAGATTTTGCTCAATACAAGCAGTCCAGACCAATGTATGGTTACTTGGAAGGTCCACTGAGATGCATTCTCAAATAAGCATGCAGGACTGCAACCAAAGTAGCCCAAATGACAAGGGTTCCAAGAGGTGGCTCCCATACCCCTGTGTTAAGGCCAGGGTTGTCAACTTGAATAAAATATTGGGGGGACCAGGAAAGCCCCACCCTGCATAATGGATCACATGGGGCAGCACACACACAGCATGTGAATGGTAATACCCATCAACCTGGGGGGGCGCCCCCTCACATATTTTATGGGGGGGTGTGTTTGAAGGGACATCAGCCCCTAGGAGATGGCTCCTATGACTAAGGCTGTGTACACACAATACCTATAAAGCACATTCTTTGCCTCAAATAATTGTGGGTGCTGCAGTTTACCCCTTGCAGAATTACAATAACCAGCCAACAAGCCAGGGCCAGCCCAACACATTTTGGCACCCGAGGCGGACCACAAAATGCCACACCCCTCCCTTTCAGGGAAGAAGAGATGTGGGAAGATCTTTATCAGGAACAAGGTGTGGCAGGGGGGAGATCAACATTGGGATGTGTTGCTCACCTGAGACAGTTGCCCCATCTGGCCTCATAGGTGGACTGGCCTCCCCTGTATCCCTGTGCTTCTCTGAAAAGCCCCTCTGGAGGGTCGAGGGCCTTCCTGGACAATGAGGAGCTAGGCTTAGGAGCTCCTGAGGGAACCCCCAAATCAGGCTTGAAGGAGTGAAGAAGTTCATGGAAGTTAACATGCGGCACCCCACATTGTCCAGAAGGTCTCCCAACCCTCCAGAAAGATTTTCACATGGTATCTGTTGGGGAAGGGACCCTTTCCATCCATGAACTTCCTTAAGGTCAATGATATATGTACAGTTACTTGGGAGCAAGTCTCACTGAACACAATAGGGCTTACTTCTGAGTAAATATGCATTGGATTCCTATGCATGTTGTTGTTATGAGCTTGTCTGTTCTGTTCTGGACTTGGGGCTCGGCTGGAACCTAATAGGGAAGCAAGATCTATTGGGGTGTTAACTTCCTCACCCTGTGCTCAGCTTGTATCTGTGTAGTTAAAACCATATATCCTAAGAACACCATGGTCTTCCATTGACCCTCATTCCTAGGAAACTGAACCCTGGGAAAGTGCAGGAACCCTCGGAGTCTCTTGCTGCTCAGAGACTGGGGTGGCAGGTAGCAATATCTTAGGATGCAAGTCTTGGTGTTTTGCTTTTCTTGGGCCTTATTCCAATTGCTTGATTTTCTAATGTGGGATAATTATTATTAGCAGCAAATAATCAAGTATTTTGGGAGGGGGCGGGGAGGCTAGCTGATTTTAAGAGCCTCAGGAGCTCCAGACAGAGAACACTGCCAGCTACTATGACTCAAATTCTCTTTCCTGAACCATGGCCCATGGGCACTGACCAGTATGGTCTCTTTTTTAGTACCAATCTGCTGATTTTGCTGCTGACTCAAAAGCTGTTGGCAGATGCGCACATAGCAATTTCTACAATTTATTACTGACATGTAATTACTTTGCATCACTTACAAATACCACTTCGCTGCAATTAGTTTAGGAACTCCTCGACTGTAAAGTGTACAGCAAATAGAGAGATGGTACTGCAAATCCCTATTCGCCTCTCAGTGGTTTGTACTAACCTTAAACAGAATTGTACAGAGTTATGGAGCCACCATACACTCAATATCTTGTAGTTAGGCTATCCCTGTCCAGGAAGGGACACAGTTGGGCCACTAGCTGAAGCTGATGGAAGGCACTCCATGCCACTGAGGCCACCTGAGCCTCCGTGAATAGCAATGGATCCAGAAGCTGTGTGCTCACTCCCTCAGTGGGAGTGTAACTCCATCAAGAGCAGGCAACCTCCCATCCACCCAGTCTAGGGAACCACCCACTAACAGTGCCTCAGTCTTATCTTGATTGAGCTTCAGTTTATTGGCTCCCATCCAGTCCCATTCCTGAGGCAAGACAAGGCATTATCATCTTCTGCACCTGCTGAAGTTTCTGAACCATCTTCAGAGGCAGCCCCACATGAAACATATTGCAGCAATATAGATGCCTTCCTGTTTAGGGAGGCTGTGATTCTGCATCATTGGAGGTGCATGTTAGCCATTATTCTATCAAAATTCTGAGTAGTTTGCAAAATATGCAGGACAGGGCATTACCCTAACTTCTGCTTTATTTCCTCCACCATTTTTTGGAATCACCTCTACATTTACCATGCGCAGTAACTATAATTTTTCACACTTTGCCAATCTTATCAATTTGGGTTGTGAGCTACAGTACACAGAACTGTAGGTTCTGCTCATGATGACCCACAGTGTCATAAAAAGGAGACCATGCTGTAGAGAGACAGGGAAAGCAAACCACACACAAAAAGGCTGCCTAGTAAACTTCATGCCTGAATATGTTCTGGGCCTGATTTGGTACACAGCATTTCACACATGTACACATACAAACCCCTTCTCAATGTTAGCCAGGGCTAAGCAAGACAAAATAATTTCATTACCTTCCATCTGCACTATTTCCACTCTATGGAAGCTAAAACCCATAATGGACATGTATTTTCTTGCAGGAGTGAATGTATTAAATGAAGTAAAGAGGATGGCAACCACCATAGACTTCTGTTTCTGCATAACTAAAAAATGGTAAGAAAGCTTGAGGAAATTTCTAAGGAACCACGTGATTTCTTCGACCTCTCTTCTTCTCCATATTAGCCCTGAATAGCCACAGGAATTGGCAGTGACATTCCCACCAGGAGACCATATTATATTGGTTTGGCCTGGGTAACCTAAACATTATTGCTGCATGTTCACCCCACAAGTTGCAGAGTCTCAAGGTCTGGCATGTGTTCACAATCCAGGCTTCAGTTATAGTCAGCTATGTTTAAAATCACCATTTGCCATAGTTGCTAGTCTACATTTAAACAGAGAGGCATGGATGGAGCTTGTTCCATGAACTAATGCTGTCGGTCTCTCTGCTTGGAGCTTTACTCATAATGACAATCATGTCTATCACTCCTCACTTTGAGGACAAGAGTGGCAGACATTCCACACAGCTTGTCTCCAGTCCAGACAGATGCTTTTATCCTCACATCGTGCATGATTGCATGTTATTGCTTCCAGTTGCTATTTGCCCCATGCAAGAAGCGTCCAAATTCCACTTCAGTAAAATTGGCAGTACCTTTCAATACCCGCAGAAGGGTTACAGGCGGGTGCATTTTTCAAAACACATTCTTGTGCTATTATTCTCCTACCCTGGGGAAATTGGGACATGTGAAATTAATAGAAAAATTAGAACAGCCTCATATATATATATATATATATATATATATATATATATATATGGAAGCACTGCAAATCGCATTGCTTTTTGATATGACTATCTGCCCTTGCATGCAACTGGCATCACTACACAACAAATGCCAGAAGAGCAAATCCTAGTGAAGTAGCAATTACAGGAAATAAAATTACCCTTCTAGATATAGGATTGCTATAATTATTCTTGAGGGTAATTGAATATCCAAACTGGGAAGAAAGTTAAAGGCCGATCCAGTTGGTTCCTGGTGTGTGCTATGCGGCAAGCACAGCTAATCTGTTCATGGGAGAGCTGCCAAAGGGGAGGGGGACCTCCCTTTGAAAAAAAAAGGTGGGGAGGATGCAGCAGGCAACTGGCTCAGCCCCTTAGTGTTTGACCATGCCTGAACAACATTCACTGAGTTACAGAATTTTTGCCATCCTAATCCAAACTAAAAACTAGGTCCATGCAAAAAAAGGTGGTTTGGATAATGCATTCTGAGCTTAGTTTATGGTGGTTCCTCATACTGTACTTTCATTTATTTATCTGAATTCCAAATGGGCAACTCATGAATGCGCATTCTATTCTAGGTTTTTGTAGCAATTTCAAAAAGATTGTGTTTTCAATGTCTTTGTAACAGTGGTTTACGGTTGTCAAGCAAGTATCAATCAATGGCTTTAAAAATTAAGTTCCTCTCATGTTTCCATGCCATTTCCCTGATAAAAGGCTCTGCTGCTTAACCTGAAACTAGAGAAAGATGTATGTGGTAATGTGCAAACAGCCACAAACAACTTGAGATGGCATGTCTCAGTCTTGTGTGTCTGTTCACCTGCTGCAAAGACCAGACTGAATCTTCACAAACATTTTAAGAATGCAAGTAGGGGGAAGTACTGTAAGAGGAGGTCTTGAAGATAAGCAGAGCCAAGAATAATGTACTGTGGATGACTTCTCACTCATGCATCCATGAGGATGTTGACAATTGGGAGGACAGCACTGATATCAATTAAATTCTAAGGGTTGTGGTCCTTAACCTCACTCACACAAAAGCAGAGGCTAAAGCTGAGCCTGAATTACAGTGGTACCTCGGGTTACATACGCTTCAGGTTACATACACTTCAGGTTACAGACTCCGCTAACCCAGAAATAGTGCTTCAGGTTAAGAACTTTGCTTCAGGATGAGAACAGAAATCATGCTCTGGCAGCGCGGCGGCAGCAGGAGGCCCCATTAGCTAAAGTGGTCTTCAGGTTAAGAACAGTTTCAGGATAAGTACGGACCTCCGGAACGAATTAAGTACTTAACTCAAGGCATAAGTCAGGCTTCCTCAGACTCAGCCCTCCAGATGTTTTTGGCCTACAACTCCCATGATCCCTAGCTAGCAGGACCAGTGGGCAGGGATGATGGGAACAGTAGTCTCAAAACATCTGGAGGGCCAAGTTTGAGGAAGCCTGGGATAAGACTTTCCTCTGCTATATTAAGGTCCTGCCTGATTCTAAAAGAATAAATCGTAGTCATTTAAGACAACTTAATGATGCTTTACCTGACACATACAAAATGGCTGCCGTTTTGGAGAACTGTACTGAAAAGGCAAGTACACAGCAGCCTCACTGCTAGCCTGGGTGGCAGGCAGTGCTGTTCAGGACAGACAGTAGTTTTATGGAGCCTGGTGGAACTATACTGGCTCTTAGTATCACATGACCATTGTTGAACTATTCTCTGCAATTCTACTTCCTGGCCATTCTTTCTAATGCAATTTTACAAAAATTCCAGGAAATGTATTGTTAATGGAGCTTCTAGATTTTGAATTTGAATCTTGGATTTATGCTGTTATTCTCAATTTAAGAGGGCTAATGGCTGATCAATATTTAGTTTTGAACACGTAATGACATACACAACATAGAGTTGCAATTAGTAAAATACAAGGTGTAAAATGATGGCTGTAGATTGGCATTGTGGAAAATTAGTCTTTTTTTATAATGCCCATCATGCATAATACCTCAAACTACTTAAGATAAACCACATTTTAATTTTTTAAAAAGTAGATTGCAAAAGCTAACATGTCAAAATGATTTTAGAGGAAAGGGATCCTTCACTGGTTGTGAATCTTGTTTACAAACAAGGAATTTACTAGGGGAGCTGATCTGTCTTGTCATCGCTGCAGTGAAGTCAATAATCCTAACCAAGTGTCTCATGTTTTATTATATTCCATGCATACCTCGCCAATGAGAGTTGAGTACTAGGTTAGTGTTCCATTTTAAGATTTCTAGGATAGCTTTTCAAAGAGACCCATGAACAAATACGAAGGGATAGACTTGTTATCATGGCAAGTGAACTCACCTTGGGCATTTTAAAAAATTTTAATCTGTGGATTTATATGCATGAATGGTTGGGACAAATTCAGTTGGGCTAGGGAAAAGCATTCAACATAAAACAGAATGTTCAGAGAGGAGCTGGGAAAGAGCTGTTGGTGAGTCCTGATTCCCCACTGAAGGAAAATCTTGTTTACACATAGTGTCAGGAACCTTGGTCCTCCTTGGAACATCAGGGTATGAGGCTAGGACCTAATCTAGTAGATGCTCTGTACTGTGTCTGTTCTGACCTGCAGAGGCAAAAAGAGCCTAGAGATCAGCCACTTTCAAATCAGGGCGCTTGGCTCACAAACAACCAACTCCAAATGAGAGAAATTGCGGGAATAGACATAAATCCTGATGTGTATGCCAGCTACCTGCCTTCTGTGGCTACTGCAGCTAGGGCTGGGTAAAGGATGATGAAAGAGACAAGGGAAATTCTGATTGTTTGCTAAACATGACTGAAACAATATATTGCTTAAAGCCCAGGCTTAGGTCACTGGCTACCAGCATGAAGCTCATGGACCACAGTTGGGAATCTCTGTTCTAGAAGGTATTTTTATGAGCTTTTTTTCTGATGCTGTGATCAAGTTCTTATGTAATTTGATAGCAAAAGGTGAAAATTGTGAATTAAGAATTTGGTGTTAGTTGTGCATGTACTGGTAGGATAAACTATGGTTACTAACTGGATAAGAATCTCTGCCCCCTCCACATTTTACTAGAATTTTGAGTGTGACAGAAATGACAAGTCATTAGTTACATACAAGTCAGAGAAAGGAATCAAATGTCAGAAAGTGACAGTGAACTACACATCCTTATAGCTTGTTTCTCCTATTCTAAATATGGCTTGTGGTTTTGTTTACATATTGAAGCCCCTTGAGGTGATGTGTAATTTCAAAGGAAACTAGCCATCTCTCTGAGGTGGTAAGTTTTGATGCGAACCACTGCTTTGATATGGGAGTACCTAAAATAAACACATCTCTACATGAAAACTATGGTAATATGCACGAGAGGGAAATTTACTCCCCTTCATATAATGGCACCTTTCTCCAGTATGCCTCCTTTGCATGTGTGTGGTTTTACAGAGGAAGCCCTGTTCTCTGTGTGTCAACTGGTAATAGAGTTCCTGGTGCATTTAGTTATCTGAGGAGAAATAGTTTGGCCATATAAGGTGATTGTATTGCCAGCCTAACCAGTGGGTCATGAGCCTCTGTATAATATAACCATAAGCCATTGGTTTTCAGTGGGTGAGTCTAAAGCGGTCTGAATTAGGGCTCAGCCAGACTTCCTTTTGTGCTGTGTTTCTAAGCACAGGTCTGCAGTTTAAAGCTCTATGCAGGTTTATTTTTTTCTTTTCCCCAGCACTTTCCCCATGAAAACCCACTACAGTATTTACTGCTGAATTGGAGCTAACAGCAATTTGCAGAAACCCAAAATTGCCATTTGTTCCAATTCAGTGTTAAAGAGCAAGCTTTTATGGGGAAAGTGCTGGGGTGGGGAGCATGTATATAGCTTTAAAATACAGACCGGTGCCTGGAAAGCTTGGGGCAAAACGCTAAGTTTGGATGAGCCCTTAAACTGGATTGCAACAATGGCACTACAACATTTCCCTTAAAAAATGAAAAAGGGGGAAGGCATTGAAGGGGAGAAGGAAGAAGAGGGGCAAAGTACATCTATGCTACAAACAGGGGTGGGCAAATCTGTCATTTTTTGTTTCTCTCAGTTTTTCATATTTCACAGAGATCAGTTCTCCACACTTTTCCATTGGTCTGATTTTTTTTAATTAAAAAAGCCCTCATGAAAATTCACGTGCGTTTTAAGTTAACGTATTTCTGTATGCAATTTTGCCTAATATACACAACTTTGCAAATGTATTTCCCCTCAATATAATGCGTTTTAATGTTATTTTCACCAACACAAGCATTTTTTAAGCATATGTTCCCCTACTGTACACGGTTATTTTGGTACACATTACTTGGGCAGCAGGGGTGGGGGTAGGGAGAACTGTATTTCAAAATTTGGAGAAGTGCAAATTTGGCATGTTTTGGAAAGGTAGTTCGCATTAAAATCCAGTGCCTTACTATATGTGCCAGTTCTATCTATGCTAATTAAACTGTCATTGTTTCCCCACAAAGATAATAGTTTAGTACAAATGCTAATAAAGCTGTAAGAGATCTCTTAATCTGCTCCATGCAAGTGTATTAGTATGTACGGTGCACAAATCCCAAGGTTCCTTTGGCATAAGGAAAGTCTGTCAAGCCAGTATGTCACTGATTTAATGATTTGTGCGCGGTAGAGAGATTTTAAAAAGGGGAAAGAGAGGCATAAACATTTTTTTCTTAAAACACACACACACAAAAACTGGATCCCATTGTCCAGATTAGAGTTAAAGCAGGTAGATGAGCTGTCTTCACCTATTTAAGATTCTGTCCGTGTTTGCATTTCAAATACAGTGGTACCTCGGTTTACGAACTTCATTCGTTCCAGAAGTCCATTCTTAAACCAAAGTGTTTTTAAACTGAGGCGCACTTTCCCTACTGAGGCCTCCCGCCACAAGTGCCCTTCTACCGTTCGGCTTCCGTTCGGCTTCCAGGGCAAAGTTCACTAACCAGAATACCTACTTCCGGTTTTGTGGAGTTTGTTCACCGAATAGTTTGTTAACAGGACTGTTTGTAGACTGAGGTACCACTGTATAGCATATTCAGTTCATTTGCTGCAGTGCCACAGCTGTGCACTGCTACAGAATTTCATAGGTTGTTTCAGCAATGAAAGTCAGTGCCAGGCATAGAAATATCTGATAGCTTTGTTAATTCCCAGAGTCCTGCATATATAATATGCCCAAGAAGATGTGGGTCGCTCAGGAAAGATGACCCACTCTTAAGTTTCCCCAATGCCCTCTGTGAAAGTGAGAACTATTGTATGTAATACGTTATTTCTAGCTCACAGACATTATACTTTTTAAAAGTCTTGTGAAGAAGCATCATGGGTAAAGCTCTCCGGGAAGCTTTGCTGTGGAAGTTCCAGTTAAATGAATGGTAAGAGCTTATTATTTAAGAGGTACCCTGCATTTCCCTCCAGTGATTTCACAGTGGCTTAAATATGGCCTCCAAGGGGACCTTCATTCAAGCTGACAGGGTTAGGCCTGCATAGCTTGCTTCAGTAATAGACAGTCCTCTTGAGTGGTTCCTAAGCATTTCAGTGCCAGGGCTTTCGCAACATAGCTTCCCAGAGGATTGGGCCCATGTGTCAACTGAAGTCTGTGCAACAATTTATTAAGCATGCTATTCTTTCTCAAATATTTATATACCAGTTTGGTTGTGGTGTTTTGCTCAATAATGCCCGCACAGCTAAGAGCAATTTAATCAATACAATCATGCGTAAAATAATTTAAGCAATTAAATACTGCAAAGGAGAAAGCCCAGCATCTTAGCAAATCCATCCAAGTTTCCTAAAGGCCTGGGTAGGATGGATATTGGCAGGCTTTTGTTGTGGCGGAAAGGTTGTAACCTTGGGACCATGATGTAAAAAGACGGATCCACAAAGAATAAGGAAAGTGTTCTTCACTTCTGAAGACACACACATACCTTTATATGTTTTATTCACCACCAGATTTCTTTAATGCCACACTGTTCAGCATTCAGGATAAATATTGGACGCCCAGAGGTAAACCCCACTGAAAACAAATTGCATTTTCAAGCCTGCTCACAGACATGCTCCCAGTATGTAGGCTCCATACAGGGGCGCCATCTCTGTGGGGCTGTGGAGATTGGACCCCCCCCCTTTGAAATTTTCAGTGAAGGAGCTGGGCCCCCTATGAGCCACATTCCTATGAGTGTGTCCAGGGCTGTCGTTAGCATATGTCCCACACCCCTTGCACCCCCGGGTAAAGACGGCCCTCAGTGTGTCTCTCCTATGAGCCACACCCAGCTAGTTATGCCAGGCTGGGCTGGCTTGTTTGGTACTTTTATTCAGTCTGATGTTTTACTAAATAAAGGAATTCTGGAGAGGATCTAGCAGTCAGGAGTTTAGTGGGTTATTTCCTCCTGGCAAAAAAACCCTGTAACACTAAGTTCATAGTTGTATTCTTGCCCATCTTCCTATTTCACTCATGTAAATTCAGAGGGAGATGTGGAGAATCAACAGAGAGCAAAGCTGAAGGAGCGTCTCCACCCCCATCGTTCAGCCCGGACACAGAGGTCCAGCTCCGAGGGCCTTCTGGTGGTTCCTCACTGTGAGAAGTGAGGTCACAGGGAACCAGGCAGAGGGACTTCTTGGTAGTGGTGTCCGCCCTGTGGAACGCCCTCCCACCAGATATCAAGCATATAAACAGCTATCTGACTTTTAGAAGACATCTGAAGGCAGCCCTGTTTATGGAAGCTTTTAATGTTTGATGTTTTATTTTGTTTTTAGTGTTCTGTTGGGAATCGCCCATACTGGCTGGGGAAACCCCGCCAGATGGGTGGGCTACAAATAATAAATTTGTTTGTTTGTTTGTTTGTTATTAAACATCATGCTTACTTTTTCCTATTTTCTTTGAACTCATGAGCCAGGAGAACCAGAGAAAAGAGTGCATTAACACATTATGGAGTGTATTTCACTGTCTCCACACTTTCATTGGCTTGTGAACCTGGATTTCCTAATGAAATAGCAGGTGTCTTTCTGGGTTACTTCCACCACCCTCTTTCAGCCATTTGTGAGTGAATTTGAGGGCACTTTAATTATTTACAACTTAAAAGATTGGCCCACCACAGTTTTCCCTAGCAGTGAGAACAAGTTTTATTCAGACTTCCAAGGTAACATTTTTGGAAAATATTAACCAACGCTTCATACCAAAGTTCAAAAGCACTGTGAAAATAGTATCAACTTGGATGGATCTCACTATTAATCATTAGCTTGCCCAAAATGAATGTAAGCGGAGGAGGAGGAATGGAGAGAGAAATATTTAAAAGGTATATAAAACATATTCATTACGTATCTTTCTCTTAAAGTAGAAAAATAACATGATTATGAGAGCTTTCAAGTCTAACCCTGACATCAGACCTTATTTCATGGTTCAGACATTTTAAAACATGGAAACTTTGTTTGTGGGCATTAGAACATAATGGTCAGCTTTGAGAAGTGGCAGTGTTTAACTTCAGTCGTTCTTGGTAAGGTATAAATACTATTGGACATCATGCTTGAGTAATGTTAAAATGTCTGGTTGACAACACGGCTCTAACAGCCAAGTTGATAAGGAGCAGATCAGCTTATCGGTAACATTCTTTTCACAAAGAGGTCGGTGTTCTTTTAGGTCCCTGAAGTGCAACAATTCACAATCATTCCAAAAATGTCTTAATCAAAATATTTATAGAACCACTGACCTTGCTCTTTTTTCTTTTTTGGTACCTTGTGCTTTTGTGGCACTTTGTGATTTTTGATTTTTGTGATTTTTGAAGCAGCACTGCAAAGCACACAGGTATAAGGTCCATCTGACCACAGCTACAGAATGGATGGAGTAGCATTGCTAGAGAGACTCTTTATATGCCTGTCTGTCTGTTTCCCTGTCCCACAGTTCAATGATGGCATTTTGAAGACACCAGAGTTTGAGAAACAGAAACAAAGCTAACTTTAGAGAAACACCTGGACCTATTGCAAATTAAAGCCAGACAATTCTGGCTTTAATTAATACAAACTGAAATTAACAGCATGGGTTCTGTTCTGTTCTGCTATATAGAGTACAAACCAATGAGAACCTAATTTCAAATATACAGAAGAGAAAATCGGCCACCCTATTGCTTTATGATCTTTCTTGGCTCTTCAGCGGCTAAATCTGCCCCATCTCTACGAACACTAGCTGTTTGGGGGATGGAGGGGGTATTATGAAGAAGTGTTTTGTAATAAGTTATGTTCTTGTTCTGCTGTGGCCTCTTGGAGATTTTTGCCTGCTCTTAAACAAATTTGCAAAACCTTAACTACAGAACATGAGACATTGTATCTCCTAAACCACTCAACAAGATTACTTGAAAATTGTGCTTTGCCTTATAAGATGAGAGGTGCAATTGTCATCGTCATATATGAGTCTGGTTAAAATGAGAGACAGAGGCCTGAATTCACCAGTGACAGCTGAAAACTGGTGCATGTTGGACTCTTCCCACCCCATCTATTTCCAGACAATGCTTAATTGACAACTCTCATGGCTCAGCCTGGGAGGAATTGAGGGCTCCCAACCCAGATGTTATCAAGTGAGTGGTTAAGTGTTGCAGTTAGGGCTTAATGAAATATGAGGAGGAGGAGGCCAGGTTCTCTACACAGAGGCACATATCGAAAACAACTTGACTATGCACACAAAGCTTAAAGTCAGTCCCATCGGTCTAAATGGGGCGTATGTATGAGTGGACAAGCATAGAATACCACCCTCAGTGACACAGGGGGCCACGGTTCCTCTTCTATCATATAGTTCCACATACAAAGCAGACATTTGTGGATCTTCTCTGGAAGGATGCGTAAATCTGGAGTGCAAGTTGGGTTTTTTATTGTTGTTAGCCACCCTGAGCCCGGCTTCGGCTGGGGAGGGCGGGATATAAATAAAAATTTATTATTTATTTATTATTATTATTATTATTTTTCGCATTACAAGAAGCAATAGAGGGCAGAAGTGTCTTTTTGGTGTAATAAGCATTCTACCAAGCCTGGTCAGATGTGGGATCACATTATATGGAAACAACATCTACTCTACAGGAGGCAAGTTCCCCTAGGATTTAACTAAATAGCAAGGCTGGTTACTGAGCACCTGAGAGTGCTCACTGGTGTTGTTTAAGGGAATTCCTTCCTTCCTCCCCCCCCCTTTAAAAAAGACCCCACTAAATGTAAAATCATTTCACTTTTTCTTTTTCTTTTTTTATACATCTTGAGCACTGGCTGATGGGCTCAGCATTCAGAAGGGCCCCTTACCAGCTTGATCTGCTGTCCATTCACTCTCTACTGGGCCCAGCTCTCAGCTATGCTAGCTGGCTGCCTCCCTCTACTGCCCTGCCTTGTCTGGGCTTTGAGAAAGGACCATGAGGGTCCTTCGTAGCCCCTGGCATTCTGAGAAAGGTGAAGAGGCATTGGCTGTGCCACGGCAGCTAGAAAGACTTTAAACTTGGAGGTCTATATATGTCTTTCTAGCTGCTGTGACAAACTGCAATAGCAGCACAGGCATTCTTCTGGCCTCCTTATCTCTGAAGATGCCTTTTCTCAAAGCCCAGGTGCCAAGGGAGGTGGCAGAGAAGCCTCCAGTGTAGGTGTGACTACTACTACTATATATCTATACCCCACCTTTCCTCCACCTGCCGAGACTCAAGGCGGTTATCACAGCAGCAAAGAATATTTTAAAACAAAAGCAGGGATGGCAGAAGGGGGGGGGATTATGGCGAGGCCATTGGTTAGGACATGACTATGTCCTCTCTGAAGTTTAGCACCAGCCCTGAAGCTGGGTGGGCAGCTGGGAGGCTGCAGAATGCAGATTACTTGGAGAGATGACTTATAGAATGAAAGAAAGGATACCCAACAAAATCCATCGGCCGCTGCTAAAGAAAGGTCAGTGCATTCTTTTCATGAGTATTTCTCTCCCTTTTGATAATAAATTGATGGGGAATATTTGAAAGAAGAAGAAAAAAGAGTGGAATATTTTTTCAGCAAGGCACTATGGGAAGCTGTCTCCAGGACAACTTGTCTTCTTCCCCTTGCCAGTGTGTTGCATTATGTGTGAGAACATACCTGGAGGCAGCTCCTCTTACATTCTTTATATAAAGCACATATAGTGAAGAAATCTATAATGAAAACGAATATCTTAAAAATCTGTTCTTACAGCATGCAGGCAAATATGTGGTCTATGAATACTACACCATCGAATGGACTATTTAAGCAACAGTTTCAGTCTGACAGCATTTCATCAATATTGCTGATTTCTTTTCACTACAGAACATTCAGGGTGATGTTATATCCTGGGTTTCGAAGAGCTGCTTAGTATCTCCATTTCACAAAGCTGTATTTCTTGGAAACAGCTTTGACAAAAAAATAAAATGGTAAACAGCCTAATGGGAAGTAGATCACTATCTTTTTTATTAATCTGTGCAAAGATCTGAAAGCAGCTTGATCCTCACTCCCATTCTGGAATCAATTTGCTATAAAACAGCAGTAGTATATGTATGTCCTTTCCCCACCAGAAATCAAGTTTGCAAAAGGTATTTTTTATCCACTCCCTTGTGAGTGTCAAGCAAGGTTTTTGGCTATTTCACTATGATGCAAATGCAAATGTTCTCCGAACCACTAATAGGGCAAGTAACTCGTGTGGAATAGCTTGATATTTATAAGGCTGTCTCTATTTTAGTTGGGATTCCGTCACATCCATCAAATTCAGATTGCATGATGGAAGATGTTTTGGTATTCTTGCACCATAAATCTGCATCCTCCCCAAATTTCCTGAATAAGGAAAGCACACTGGAAAAGTGTGGGACGAGAATGGCTTGATTCTCATATAACCTTCCTGCAAACAACACAGAATGATTCCTCAATAGTTAGCTGGCGTCATCAAACCTCCCCTTAAACTTTGAGTAAACAAATTAGAATGAATGTTCAAGAAACAGATAATTAGGAAGCAGCCTAAGAACCTCAATTTTATGCTGTTTCTACACACTATAAGGCACATTCAAACACATTATTTCCCTCAAAGAATTCTAGGCTCTGTAGTTTACCCCTCACAGAGTTACAATTCTAAGCAACCTTTAACAAACCATAGTGCCCATAATTATTTGAGAGGGTGGAGAATGTGCTATGAATGTGCTTTAAAAGTACAGGGTATACACAGCCTTGGTGACAACAGGCCTGGCTTACTGGTATTACTATGTTGCTCAGCCTTGCTTTGGCCACTGGATTTGCCACTCCATACAAGGAGGGGGGAAGAAGGCTAGGCAGGATGGTGGCCAGCCCCCTTCAAAGGTCCCATGAGATGCAATGTCCCATGAGACATTGAGATCTTGTGAGAAGGCCACTCCTCCCCTCCAAGTATGGCAGCTACTGTGCTAGCCTACAAGTTAGCCAATGGTTTTAACTAGCTTTCCAAGCTGTAAGTGGTGACTCCACAAACACACTTCAAGCCGTAGTTTCAAGGCAAGGTTCTAACCAAAGTTTCCAAGTTTAAATAGCATGATAAAGTATGGTTAGTAAAAATGGAGGAAGAAATGTGCAACAGGTGAGGAGGGATGAAGTTGGGGAGTACATGGGTCTGTGAGATCACTATGATTTGGTATTAATCTGAATTGAATTAGATTACAGTTCCTTTTCCTGCTTAACCTTGAATCTCAAAGAATCCACTCAAAGATCATATTGATCAAACACTTGAGAAAATCAAACTACCCAAATTGCAGGACTTGTAGAACAAGAAACAGGAGAATACAAAGAAGGGTGGGGGGAGGCACTGCAGACCTTTTTCACTTTTCAATCTCAGGTCCCATATTAAGCACCATTTAGCACATGAAAGCTTTTGCAACTCAAGTGTGAAACAGTGTGTGTTTCTGCTTTTGGTGGAGAAGATGAAATGGGGTATAAGCATGCAATGCAACACTAGGTTCCCACCCTGCACCAACTCTTACCTATTTTGAAACTGCAACAAGTATTTCAACAGATTCTTCACAAATGCAGGGCTGGTAGCATAAGCATAAACCCCGAAGCAATTTCTAGCAAAAATATTTAGCTATTAATCTTCTTCCTCCAAAATACTCCCACATTCCTTCTGCTCTGTGCCATCTTGTAACTATTCTGTCAACAAGCCCAAATACATGTAAGCCAAGTGGCATAGGCATTGTAGTTTTTTCATGCACATGCCAGTTGAAACATGTTACATATTGGATGCATCCAAGGTAAAGGCACATAAAAGATGAACAAGATTGCAGTGGCCCCCAAATGTTGTTGATAACATGGCCCGATTCAATTTTGGAAGTGGTGAAGCAAGGCATGCCAAGTGCTCATAGGGGTATCAGCACTCCTAAATGAGCATTTCAAAATGTTAAGAGTTTTAAAAAATATATATATTAAAAATAGTGAGGAAATTAAAGAACAAAGTTACAGGACAGAAGGGGCTGTACTTTACAAAACTCATAATTAACCTGTAGAACTCTTTGCTCCCAGCAGTGGACCATGTGATAGAATTGCACCATGCACCTGATCTCCCTCCGGCCGCATTGCTGCTGAATATAGGGATAGAGAGGGGACAAGGGGAAGTCAGCATGGTGCAAAAGCCCTGGAAGAGCCGATCTGCTGCTCCTGCTGGCATGTTTGCACTGCACTGATCTTTCCTCTACCTCCTCCTCTGTCCATCCCAGTGAGCAGCAGTGATACAGCCAGAGGGAGGTCAAATGCGCAGTGCAGCACCACCATGCTGTCTGCTGCTGATGGCCACAGGATGTTGTTGCAATGATGGCCACCAACTTACAGGTAGCTTCCATTAATTTGTCTGCCAAGAGCTATTAAGCATGAGAACTACAACTCAGTAGTTAGAGCATCTGCAAAAGGTCCTTTGGTTTACTTCAGTAGGGTTTTACCTGAGCTTTTGAGGAATCCAACCCATCTTCCATAGTAGCAACCTCTGTAAACAGAGGTAGAAGTGAATGTTCTGGATGGACATGGCTGCTCTGGTTAAAATCCCACTGAGTTCAATGAAACTTGCTTCCAAGTATGTGGGTTCCATGGCCTAAATTGGTATTCTGAAGACTGCAGTAAGATGTTTTCCTCTCTTAACAATCAAAGTTACAGCCATTTGTATTTGGCCTTCAGCCTTCCTACTGTAATACATTTACCCACAAAAGCAACCGAGACGGAGCATCGCTTTTAATCTAAACTCAATTACAGAAGAAAGTGGGGGTATTTGGGGGTGGGGAGGAGGGGGAGTTGTGAACCTTTGTAGTAAATGTGAAGTCATATATGAAGGAAACTGGAATAGTCACATCCCCAAACGGTAATAAGAGATGAACAGCATGACTCACAATCCAGAGAGCTAATTTTCAAAATGTTTGATAATAACTGAATTTCCGTCTTTTCAAAGCTGTGTGGGGGAGGTAAGGATTCTATGTTCTGATCTGAAAGTTTAAACTGATAGATTATCACATCCAAAGAAAGGGGACAGTTAGTTACATAACAAGCAGCTGTAGGTGCATCAGATACAATGTGTGGGCAGTCTGAGGCATTTCTAAGAAGTATGTTTCTGTAGGTGTCAGAAAGTAATTTATTTTCCATCCTTCATCAGCATCTAATGTAAGTGTAGCATCTTTGTTATTTGCCTGATATTTGAGGATTTCGGATTTTTAAAAACCACACGGATACATTACAGATTCTTTCAGAAAAAGAAAGCAAACTAAAATTGATTCATTTAGGAAACCTCTCAAAGTGCTGTATTGGATAGATCCATTGGACACATAAAGGCTGCATGCTGCTTTTAAGGTCTGGGAGTTGCAGCAGGTGCAGAATGCTGTGGCTAGACTGGAAATGAGAACAGACCACCAATATGAGATATGACATGTGTTAAGAGGGCAAAAAAGCCCTGCACTGGCTTCCCATTTACTACTGCACTAGGTTCAAGGTTATTAGACCAATGCACAAAGCCCTGAATAACTTAGGTCTAGAATACCTTAAGGACCACCTTACTCTGTATGGACCAAGTCAATTGCTGAGATTGTCTGGGGAAGCACTATTAGTGGTCCCCCATGGACTTAAAAGCATGACTCATGTCAACATGAAGTCATGCCTTCAGTGTTGCGGGCGCAACTCTGTGGAACTTCCTCCAGAGTGGCAAAAGTCAGATGCAAGAATGTGAATTGGCAGAAAGAAAAGAGCAGAAGATTTTAAAGAGCCGTGTGAGATAGAGCCAGTAAGCAATCCAAAAGAGTGAGCTGGATGTGGCTTCTTGGTTCTAGAAGCAGCACAATGCAAGGATGTGAATTGGCAGACAGAAAGAAACAGAGTAGAAGGCTTTGAGAGCCGCATAGGACAGAACTGTTAAAAAAAGAGACAATAAAACCCAAGGGATTAAAAAGCCCTAGGATTACAATACTGACCATTGAGGAAATCCGCAAGATACATGCCCTCAGGGCAGCGGACGATACTGATGTTGCAATTGAGGCAGCTAAAATTCCACTTTGATGGCCCCGCCCCACCGAGTGTACGACCCCCTGGAGTCATCCGACGCCCAGGACCACAGAGAGGTTCATTTCAGGAGGGCCTTGGATAATGAATGCTTCTCTGATGTGTTAGCAGTTTCCCAATGCTCTTTCTAAAATTTCTGAGATTTTAAACATCTGAAGTTTAACTTATATTTTAAATTTTGTTATTTTGGATATTTTTCCTGTTGCAAGCTGCTTTGAGAACTCAGTCATGAAAAGTGGGATCTATCATCTATCTATCTATCTATCTATCTATCTATCTATCTATCTATCTACAGTGGTGCCTCGCAAGACGAAATTAATCCGTTCCGCGAGTCTCTTCGTCTTGCGGTTTTTTCGTCTTGCGAAGCACGGCTATTAGCAGTTTAGTGGCTTAGTGGCTATTAACGGCTTAGCGGCTTTAAGAAAAAGGAAACAAACTCGCAAGAACTCGCAAGACGTTTCGTCTTGCGAAGCAAGCCCATAGGGAAATTCGTCTTGCGGAACGACTCAAAAAACAGAAAACTCTTTCATCTTGCGCGTTTTTCGTCTTGCGAGGCATTCGTCTTGCAAGGTACCACTGTATCTATCTATCTATCTATCTATCTATCTATCTATCTATCTATCTCTATCATAAATAAGAACACTGCATTCAATTGCAGAAGTAGCCCAAGGCATTTGGGTACCTGAAGAAGAAAATTCCAATAGCACCCCCAGGGTGATAAAATATTAAACAAACAAACAATAATGCCCACCAATGGCAACCTAAGGCCTGCCACTAGGGACAAACTAGCTATGCTACGGTGCCCCTCCCCCCCCCACATTGGTTATATGAGCATCGGCATATGAGTATTTAGTTTTTTATTCCTCAGGAGAAATAACACTTTCTAAGATTTCCTATGGTCGGGGTTATGCTGCGCCAAGCATATCTTGCCAGTTAAGTGCTGGTTGTGTAGAGTACACCACAAAAGATACACGAGTATACATCTGAGGCTCTTTCTTGGTTACCTCTGTGACATACCGCGGGAATGTGGAAAATGTTTCAGCCTGAGGCAACCTTCTGGAGTTCACATGGTGGGCAGTGCCAGAGGCAAAGCAACAAATGTAAATTTTACCATTGTACACTAAGCTCCTTGCTATACACACACCAACCCTGCCTAGCCTGCATCTAGACAAGCAAAATACATTGTCAGATTTCCAGGACACACTCCAGCCAGGCAAAAATATTTTGGATGCAAACACGGCCCAATGAGGGATTTGACCTAGAGAGAGTTCTAAGGGCCCAATAGAGAGGCCTGGGGTGTGGTGCAGGAGACACATTTAGTCCCTGGCCTAAGATTCCCCACCCCTGCCATACTGCGTACTGTAACTGAAACGGCTTCCTGTATACTTGTGTACCAGTGGTAGGAAAGGTCTATAAATGAAATAATGACTCAGTGAAGAATCCCCTTTGTTTGAACTCTCCTTACATCACCTCTTGCTCTTTCCTTCTGCCTCCTTCCCCTATCCAGTTTATCAGATCGCATTCTTCAAATCTTTTCACTCTAAATTGCCCTCCTATCACTTCAGGAGACAAAACATCCATTTCCTTTTGATATAATGTCTCAAAATTTATTTCACGTTAGTCCAATCTCATTCTCTTCATGGTGTCAGGGTTCTGGGGATAAGTCGAGCTTTTCAAAAGTCACCATCCAAGCGTCAAGAAACATTGCTTGCTCAGCTTGAGAAGATGGATGGAGAGTAATAAAAATATACTGAAAGCAATGCAGAATAATGCTGGAGAGTTTACAAAACAGTTATGTACTGCAAGGAAAAAAAGACTGAAAGTTTATAATGGGAACTCCAGGGCACTCTAAAACAATAAGTGGACTCTTAATCATCTCTAGTCTCAGGATTGTCCTAAGGATAAGTACTCTTGGCCAGAGTAGGAACACTGACCGAGGTTTCTCTAAAAGAATCCATAGTAGTCTGGACATTATTGGGTTATATACAGTGGTACCTTGGGTTACATACGCTTCAGGTTACATACACTTCAGGCTACAGACTCCGCTAACCCAGAAATATTACCTTGGGTTAAGAACTTTGCTTCAGGATGAGAACAGAAATCGCATGGCAGAGGGAGGCCCCATTAGCTAAAGTGGTGCTTCAGGTTAAGAACAGTTTCAGGTTAAGAACGGACCTCCGGAATGAATTAAGTTCTTAACCTGAGGTACCACTCTATTAGTATTATAGCTTGGAGCAAGATTCCACTCTTAGACCTTTCTAGTTTCTCCCAGTTTCTGTCCAATGCAAGTCCAGCAATAAAACATGGTGTTGGGGTTGGAGTGATCCTATACAAAAGTACTTATGTTAATCTTGACAGGGTACATGAAGGCAGCACTTACCTAAGAACAGCCTACTGGATCAAGCCAATGGCCCATCTAGTCCAGCATCCTGTTCTCAGTGGCCAGCCAAATGCATGCAGGAAACCTGCAAGCAGTACTGGAAAGTTACATCTCTAACAACTCTGAAACATCAGTTTGAGTTAGACATATGCATATGCAAGGGTGCAATTTTTCCCTGGGTACATATTAAGATCCTAACACTAGGTCCTGCAGACTACAGCCTCAGCCAATGTGTATAGATGAAAACCAAGGACTTTTCTAGATGTTTCAATGTTTTAATCCATATTTTTTTTGCTTAGGTTTTATTTCAATATGTTTTCTTCTTGGATTGCAGATATAAGGCTGCTTCTTTCATTAAATGTTATTTTGGCAACAGTGGGGTGCTCCTGTATCAGGTCAAAGCAAATGGGATGTTAGGAGATCTCTGGGAGGGGACTAATCCATTAAGGGCTGTGGTGCTGGTGGGGTGTGTGTGGTTTAACCCAATTAAAATCACCCCTGCAAGCTCCTAATTGCCCTCTGAGGAAAGCACATGAGCATACTCTTGTGTCTTGAATAGTTACAACTAGTGCCGTGTCAAAACCTGTTCTCCAATTTCTTGAAAGTTTTCTTCAGCTGCAAAAGAAGTTTCCACCTTTCTGCCTCTTTTGCAGTGTGGGAAGTATTTTAACTTTTGTATTTTTTAGTATTTTAAACTTTTGTATGTTTTAAAGTATAGTTGTGAGTTCCCCCCTTGATTTCCTTATCTTTTTGTAAACTCTCTCTCCCTCCCTCTCTCTCTCTCTCTCTCTCTCTCTCTGTGTGTGTGTGTGTGTGTTTCACAATCAAGTAGTATATACATTTTAATGGATAGATAGATAGATAGATAGATAGATAGATAGATAGATAGTCAGTCGGGGAGAGTGGTTATTGAGAACCTGAGATCAGCACACTGGCTATGCCTGTTTTTAAGGGAGGGTTTTCCTTTTTTAAAATAAAGGAATCAGTGCAGAAAGGCGATTTTCTTTATCACTTAAAATAATAATAACGAACAGCAGCCAGCCACAGAGTAGAGAGCACACCTGCCCTCTGCAGGTCAGGAGAGCCTGACCAATGGCATCATGGGGTTTTTAGGAAGGCTTCAGAGTACAGATCAGAAAAGAGGTGATTTGCAGAATGAAAGAAAGGTTAGTCACAAACACCATTTGGCCTCCTTGAAAGCACACCGAGCACAACAAGAACACTGTACCCCACTCATTTCTCTCCCCTCTGATAACCTTCATGTTCAGTTTCTTTCCTCATTAATTGATGGAGAAAAAGTAACTTTCAGGACATCACAGTACATGAATAAGGTGAATAGTTCAGCCCAATGTATTCTGATATACTACAAGCAGATTAGTATAATAACCAGTTTTCAAAAGTTGCATAGTCTAGGGGTGGAATGGCAGTTAGAGGAGAAGCAAGCAGCACATTTTTATGGGTTTTTTTGTGGTGCAATGGATTCTGTATAAATATTAGCCTCCAGTAATTCACTGAGTGCCATTTGCTGTGCAAAGCACTCATTCTCAACAGCTCATCTGATCCCTTCCAGTGCTAGGTATTAACAGGATTTTGTATTAGGGAAGGTGATATGGGAACATTCAAGTCCTGGGAAGCAGCTCTTTGAATACGAAAGCACAGACAGTTAAGACTAACTTTTGTTATTGAGTCACTTATCAGTATTCACTTTCAAAGCTTCAGTTGTGCACAGGAATTTGAGGAATGGTAATACACTTGTTCACCTGCACATCTTTCTCTCCAGGAGAGGCAGTCTATTAATTCTTCTTGATGAAGATCCATAACCAGCATTCACTTTACATAATTGCCCGTCAACTTTAGTGGCTCAGAGTCTGAGCTTGTCCAGATTTTATCCTTGCCATGGAGACAGCACACATCCTGGCCACATGGCTCAGAGCAACTCACAGTATGAGTCAGCCTGCTCATAAAAGTGTGATTTGCCATGATTGGTGGATAGGGGGGAAAACAATCTCAATGTGATAGTCCCAACTCATCACAGCAGCTTCTAAATGTTATAGCTCTCTCATTGCAATTCAGAATTAGGACGCAGATCCCAGGGCGAGTATATTCAGGGAACATCATCATTTGTCCTTGTGTGAAGATGGCAGTGATTATTACGCTGTGTGCGCAAATGGTAGCTATCTGAACAACTCTACTGAAGAGCAACAACACAGGTAGGAAGACATAGATCTACAACATATCACTTTTGTACACCAAAAAATGACAAGGAGAAGGTAAGAAAAAGCAACACCTACAAATAATATTGCCACCACTTTCCTGACTGAAGGAGAAACTTGGCAAGCGTACAAATACTTTCCCCCACTACTGTCTAAATTGTCAACTAAATAAAAAATTCACTGGCATTTGCTAGCCAATTACAACAACAATTTGGCAAGGTCATCACACCATCATCATCCCTTTGATGACATTGTGTGAACCAGTACCATTTTTAACATCCATAGCACACAGTTTTCATATCTTGAGCAAATAAGATTAAATAACTGTAAATGGTTTGGCATTGCTATAATTTGTTGAGCACCATCAGCTCATTGTCAAAGGAGTCATACATGTTTTTGCCCACACTGGAGAGGAGTGGGGAGGCCAATGAATGAAAATATACAACTAAACAGGAACCAGCATCAGAATCCTAGACATGTCTACTTATATGTAAGCCTCATTGAATTCAGTAAGATTTACTCCTAGATAAGCATGTATAGGACTGCAGCCTTAAAGTGGAAGAAATGCCTCATTTTCAGTCTTCCAAAATTGGCAAATACAGTTACCTTATCTAAGGAGAAAACCAGAATTTGAAGCAAAGTATTTTAGCAGGGGGTAGAATTTCAGACTGAAAATTAAAATGACTGCCATTTTTAATTTGATTGCATTAACTTGGGAGGCCTAAGAGCCACAGATCCCTTCTGTTTCCACTGTTAATTGCATTTACCAGCTCTTATTGTGTCTTATTTAACAGAGAACTCTACCTAATTGGTGGAGCTCCATTAACCTCATATATAATTTCTCTCTCTCAGCACTGGATGAACAGTACCAATCAATGATCTAATTTTACTTTTACTTTTAAGTTCTCCAATTAACTTTCTCCCCTTAACAATGCTGAAACATGTGTTTTTTTCTACTCAAACAGTATAGTCATTATGAGTACAATGAATAATCCTGGGGAATTGTGATTATTTAACTGGATATAGAAACATTTAGCTTCAGAATGCACTGCTTATTCCTGTATTCTCAAATTTCATAAGGTGTTCTTAAAATAAAAGTATTAGTTTTTAGGCACCAGGCAAAAAAGTTTCTATTGACCCAAGTTCTTGGTTCTTAATCTGTGGGGTATTAGATATATTTGTGGCCTCTTTTCTGCTCATCTTTTTAGTGGGTTGGGGTTAGCTCTCCCCTTTTATGTATATTATAGATGTGCTTTTTATTTGTTTTATCTATTGGTTTTAATCTTTGTTTCACTTTGCAAGTGACTCTGGGTCGCTTTTTTTGTGAAAAATACTGACATTGTATTTGAAAGCAAGTTTTGGGGAAATCACTGGGCCTTTCATTTAACTACAGGAGTTTGGGATTGGGAAGAAGAGTGCAATGTGGGTGAACCTATTTAAGAAAGCCTATTTAGTATAGAGAGACTTCAAAGGAAAACTTCATCAACTATTGGCTTATGTAACATAGTTATATTGCCCCAAAGAGAGCTGTTCCAAAGGAGGTTACAGCAATAAACCTGAGCCTCTTAGATAACTGCACAGGCTGAGGTGTGCATCAGGCCATAGCCCACTGCGAACCATGAGGCCACGGTTAAACACTTTTAATGTCCTGTTGATTTTAATAGGTGATACCGAAGCACAAGCTTATGTCTCTTCTGTTGACATTAGTGGGATCTTAACGTCCCTCCCTTTGGTGAGATTGTGTGCCATGGGCTCTCTCTAAGTTTGCTTCTGAACTGATTTTAATAACAGCACAAGTGAACTAGCTTGGGGAGTGTTAAATAGAATCATATGAAGAAATTGGCTTCTGTTGTTCTGTAGCATTGCATTTGATAGTGTGAGCCTGAAGGCACAAGCCAATGTAATTGTTTGACAGCCTGTATGCCTACTGGAAGCAAAGTGAAAAGAGCCTAGTATTTTGTATACCTTAGTGGAGCAGGCCGTATGTTTGTATGTGCCTACTGAAATTTACCAACAGCAGCACCTTACTTACAAGTGCAGTCCTGCACCATGTTTAATCACAGGTAAGTTTCAGTCTGTTCCATGAGGCTTACTCCCCATAAAGTGAATTTTGAATTGCAGCATTTGGATACCAGTCAGGGCTCAACTATCTCTGAAAGTCAGCTCTAGGTTGGAGAAATCTGATTCCTTGATACTCAGGTCCAAAGTAGACATGATGTTATACGCATTTTTGCATCTAGAGGGCTACAAATTATTGGAATCACGGTAGGGTCCAATGGGTGATTTCCTCCTGCTGTAAACAGCAGCTTCAGAGGAGGGATTTTATTCAGGATCACAACAAGGGAGGAAAAGGCTAATTTTTCCCTCCATGCCTGTTGACACCAGCCTCACTGAATGTCCCCAGGTTCTAGTATTTATATGAGAAAGAGAGAGTGCTCTCTGTGTCTGCTTTCTGTATCATGCATAATTTTATACACCTCTGTCATATCCCCCTTTATTCATCTTTTTCCCCCAAGCAAAAAAAGTGCTAAATATTGGACTTTTTCAACCAATCATTTTGGCTGCCATTTTCTTCACCATTTCCTGCTCCACAACTTTTTTTTGATGTGTTGCAACCAGAAATAGACTATTTCAATAGTAGACACACCATACTATTTCAATAGTACACACACCATAGATTCATATAACAGTACTACAAACTTGACAGTTTTCTTTTCTATCCATTTCCTAACAATCCCTTGCATGAATTTCACATATTTCACAGTTGCTGACACTGGGTCTGTTCTCCCTTCGATTGGGAGGCATCACTTGACCTCCTCTTGCCTTTTGGTGCAAGAAGAAAGCTTTGGTGGAAGAAAGCTTGCATGGCTAATGTACAGTTTTCTTTCCTTACAGAGCTTGTTGAAAGTTCTCTGGCCTGACATCCTCCAGACCAGTGGTTTGGAGCCCAAGTCTTGATACCAAGGGCTTGCATTCACAGCTAAGCTATGGGAGAAATTGCCATACTTGGAAGCTCACTGTAGTGACCCTACTGCAAGGCAATGCAGATCAGCTACCTGAAACTTACAATGTCAGTTCAGACAGATGACCTTATGCAATAACAAAACCTTGCAGAGTTTCCATTCTATTCCATTTATTTGGTTCTACAAGATAAGCTGGGTGACAACCTCTAGTGTGACAGTTAATTTTAACCTCCCTATCAATACACTGCTGCAAAAAGTATTCCATTGTTATCATGAAGCAAGGCGGCTTGATATCATTTGTACTAGTACAGCTATAAAAAGGGAAGGCATAGCTGGAAACTGACGCAAGCTTGAAAAACCCAGGAATGACGTTATCACTGTACAGGCAGGCAGATTAGAAGTAGAGGCTCTTCAAATATTAAGAGTCCAGTTGAAGAAATCCAGCATGCTCTTGTTAGTCATGTCTTCTCCCTTACTGAAGAATTTTTCTGTCATGCGGAGGAGTATATAGAAGAAATGAAGTCACTTTGGCACAGGAAAGAGTGTCCACACAAACACACACAGAAGACAACATGATTTGGGACAGACTGTTGCTGTTTCCATAAATCTGCATGAGGGTCACAACTCACAATGACTCTTCTTCTTCCATTCTGTCCCTTTTTACTGCCTGGCCAGACGGGTAACAGGCAAATTACTGATGTTTCCCTAGCTATATTCTTATAGGCCTTGCTCTTAATACTCTCTGTACTTATGAGTTGCATTATACTTAATTTGGCCATATGTCCAATTTACTCCAGCAAGCAGTTGTTCTCCATGGTAGCTCAGTGGTACAGTACATGCTTTGCATGCAGACTCAGGTTGGGTCTCTGGCATCTCCAGGTGAAGCTTGAAAAGCCCCTCGTCTGAAATTCTGGAGAGTCATTGCCAAATATGTAGACCACAGGTAAGGAATCTGTGTTCCTCCAGATTTTGTTGGGAGTCCAATTCCAATTCCCATCAGCACCAGCCACCATGTGCAATGGTCAAGGATTATGGGAACTGGAGTCCAAGAACATCTAGAGGGCCACATGTTCCTCAGTCATGTGGGGGTGGTGAGGTTGGCTTGTCTCACTCTGTAGACAGTACAGAGTGAGATGGACCAATTGTTTGTTTCAGTATAAGGCAACTTTCTAAGATCTCAAGTCAAGGTCCTTCCCACCTGCATCACGTGAGATCCTTTAAGTGAAGATACTAAGTCTTTAACCTGCAACCTTCTACAAATAATTATGTGCTTCATCACTATTTCCTTCTCCAATGGATGAGTACCTGTGTTTGTTTGCCTGGGCACACTATTTGGCCACAGCTCATAATTGACACTTGAACTCTTCTTCACTGGAGGTATTTAAGCAGAGACTAGATAATTATGTTGTCAGAGATCTTGCTACTGGGTTGGGTGAGGTGACCTCCAAAGTCCCTTCCACCTCCACCATTCTGTGATTTTCATATTCACTGAAACTATTTTTCTTTTGATAAATGCAGGGTGTGTCAAGTACAGGCAGCAGCAAACGGAAGATTCCCACCATTCTTAATTTTCTAAATTGATTCAGACATGCCTGTTCGCCTACCCAAATGTTAATGCATGACAGAGGAAGGCTTCAAACACTGAAAAGGTCACCATGAAGCAGAAGGGAGGGGCAGGAACGACAGGTTGCATTACTAATGAACCTACCTTGCAGGAGAATAGGTGCAGGACAAACTTTGCATCTTTAAACAGAGTTGGGGCCTTAATTTGCTTAAGGATGGTTACTCTATCAGGGATGTCTGTATATGTAGGAAGAACTTATGACTGAAGGCACAGTAATGCTAAGAAACTGTGTGTGTATATACGAATATGTATTCTCTCTCTCTCTCTCTCTCTCACACACACACACAGAGAGAGAGAGAGAGAGAGAGAGAAAGAAAGAAATGGTGCTGGGATATTATTTACATGCAGTCATCTGCTGGCATCTCCAGGTCTCCCCATACCAACATTGTTTTAAAAAACCACAATCTAAAGGTGTTTTACTCTGCGGTAATTCCTGACAGAATTTCAGAGACTGTTCACAACTGAGGGGACCAAACCAATTGCACTGGTAGATAGGTTCAGAAGCAGCCATCGTAAGGAAAGAACAAGTTAAGAACCAAGCCATATTTCACAGCATGGGTTTGCTGACTCAGGCAGTGAAGAAAGCACACCCATCCTTAAAAATGTGCACTTCTCAAATTCTCCAATGCAGTTCTCCAGCCAAGTAATGTGTGCAAAATCCATATACTATAGTATAGTGGATAAAAACACATGCATTAAGGAATACACCAAACAAAACTGAATTATTAGGGGAAACTGTTTTGCAGTAATGTATTGGGTAAAATGACATATGTATTAGTAGAAATTAACACCAAAAAGCTGATGAATTTTCATGAGGACATAAGAAAAATAGCAAACTGATGTGGAAATGTGGAGAACTGAACGTAAGTTTGGAAAAATTAGAAACTGAGAAAACCCAGAATTGACCAATTCACCCATAACTAGTTTCAAATCATGCTCTCTACTAAGCATTTTTTAAAGGTACAAAAGCTAAGCATAAGTATGACATGTGAACTTATTCATTAGCTGATTGGTCTTTTCTGAAAAAATGATGTTGATGTTGCCTTCACAGAGCAAGACTTTCCACATACCTTTTTTCCTGGATAGTCAGGTATGCAGGATTATGACCATCAGTTTCGAGGCCAGGGCAATCTAATTTATGACCCATCCAGGATCGTTTTGGGTTTTTTTATATGAAAATGAGAAGTTGCACAAAATGCTGCAAAAACCTAGCTAGCTATTAATCTATCACTTTGAAAAGTGGGATATACACATTTTAAATAAAGGGACAGAAAATATTGCTTTTGTTAATTGGCAGCCTCCAAGAGCAAGTATTTAAAGCCTACCTTATAAAGCATGGTTAAATGTACTGTCACTTCACAGGACTTTTATTGCTATTGCTAATATGCCTGAGCTCCCAGTTTCATTAAATACATCACCCTGCATTGACAAGATCTGCTCCTAATAGCATGAAGCGGCCCACTGCCAGCATTTAATTTATTGGCCATCGTTTATATGACCAAGCCTTACAATAATTAAAATGCAGGCATGACTGCTGCTAAATGATATTGCTTTCAGTAGCTCATTGCCCATGATATGTCTTCGTATGTTAATGCATTTCAGAAATTCAAGGGACAAGTGAGGCTCTGCGGAAAACGGCAACGTAGGGTGTGTTTCTGGGAAGGAGAGTCTTTAAAACACTCCCTTCTCAAGCAGGCACCTTCCCAGATTGTGCAGGTGAGAGAATGAGGGACTAGGAAGATGCCTCTATATCTATTTCTGTGTATCTTTACAAGTTTTTAAGTGTATCTTTACAAGTATTTATGTGGGACCCCACTACAAAATGGTGTTTGTGTGTGCATCTGAACAGAGTGAGCAGGTGAAAGAGTAAGGGAATGGGAGCAGATTTCAAAAATCTATAACACTAGATAGGTGCTCAGTTTACAACGTGATGAAAACCACACGAAGGAGAGAGGTGGCACACTGCCAAGCCATGCCTCTGTCAGTGCATCGCTTTGCGTTCTTTACAACCCTCCATGCATTAGAGGTTAAAGGTCTGAAGCTGCGAGCCTCCTGCACTCATGGAAGCTCTCCATACTATTTGGATTCCTACATAATCAGGGTTCTAACTAGGGATGTGAGAATCTGCTCCTTTCAGGTTTTTCCAGTTTCTCACTTTTCTGGTCTGAAGTTGACTTCTCTATATTTCTCTGTATTTCTACATTTCCCCTACATTTCTACATTGTATATAAAAAAGGTCCTCAAGAAACTTCTACAGCATTTCAGTGTGAATCTCTCCTAATATATACATGCAAATATACAGTACTTATTCTTGCAAACCAATTTCCCCAAATATAATACATTTTTGTATATTATCTTCACAAATCTATGCATTTAATATATGCACACTTTACCCAGGTGTATGCATTTTGTACATATTCTTTTGAAAAACTCAGAAGAAAATGCTGGACTAGATGGGCCTTTAGTCCAATCCAAGTCCAGTCCAGTCCAGCAGGGCTGTTCTTGCATTATTCTAAAAGAAGCAGACCTTGTTGTGTTAGAACATTGCCATGCCTGCTGACATCTATATCTTAACACCTTTGCGTTGCTGTTAACAAATGAAGTTGGAGGTAAAGCCAACAGATGTGAATGAACTCATTATGTAACATGGTAGCCCCAACAAATTTGAATCACACCAGGTCCTTTCTCAGGGGAAATCTGGCAAATCCAGTAAGCTGGAAACTGCTTCCTTCCCTTTATACTTGCTTGCAGCAGTCAATCTTCCCCAAAAAGAGTGCAATGTGAAAATGCAGCCATTTCCAGCTTACTAGTATTTTATATTTCCCTTGAGGAAGAACCTGGTGGGATTTGAGACATATTTGGACTACAAATTCACTGAACACATTGTTCAGTTTTACATCTGTTTTCTCCAAGGGAGTGATACACATCTCCTTCTTACAGACAAGACCTGGAAGTGTAGGGGAGAAATATCTCTGTGTCCTTTGTATTTACATCCACAGAAAAAGAGGACATGGGTCACCCATCCAAAAAAAAAAGAAAAGAGGATATAGATTTACATAAATTTGCATGTGCTAATTTGAATATTGTGATTCAAACTTAATTAATATTATTTTAATGGAAATACTATTTATCCCTTCTTGTTGTGCTCTCTCTTTAAACTGGACTTGGACTCTGGCCACATCCCTCCAAATTTCCTTTCCTCTGTAAAACCGAATACATTTCATATGTTCATCCTACTTGCATGCCTGCTTTCCCTGCTTCTTTTGGAAGCTGTGGCCCCTCACATTTCAGCGGAGAGACTTCCTTCTGAGTAAACAAGCATAGCATTGCATTATCATTTTCCTAGAGTTCAAGAGGACTTACACCCTGATAGGACAGATTTTGCTAGTAAAGGAAAAGAGCACCCTGTTTGCTAGAATCTGAGCTCAGATGTGCAGGCTGGGTCTGTAAGGCAATCAAGACTTGCTGTCAACAAGTATTAGCAGTGGGAAGAGTTTACCAGCAAACTGTGGTCAACAGGTTTATGTACACATCATGCTATCTTCACAAGCATTTCCTGCCTCCGTAGATAAAATTGAAGCCCTACTTTGACCTGGAGGTTGATTCAGTTGAAACATGACATTTGACCTTAGCTCAGTGGTACAGCAGACAGTCTCTTTGCCAATTATTTTTTATTGATTTTCCCATTTTAACCCAATTATACCAATTATTTCCAAATTAATACAATTTTGTTCATGTGCTGCAGACAGTCTCAATTTAACCCCTGGCATTTCTTTTGAAAAGGGTCTCAGACAAACCTTTGGAAATCCTTGCAAACGAGAGCAGATTGAGTAGGCAAACCAATAGTCTGACTCAGTCTAAGTGGGATTCATACACTTCTAGGTCACATAAATAATATCTACAAGAGGCACACTCCAGTCAAAAGGTATGCAGAGGGTCACTTGGGAAAAAATCCCTTAGAGACATCATAGGAACAAGTTCAGCGGTTCAGCAATTGCATCATATTCATTACAGCAGGCAGAAACCAGGAATATCATACTCGTGTAAGCATTGCACTTGTCTGTAATTGCAGTGCAGAGAGGGAGGGAGGGAATCGTGGAAGTTGATCTGACATAGCCCTATTCCAAATCTAACTTGCATGACTCTCCAGTGGAAGAATGCAATCTGCTGGACTAATGTAGTCCAGCTATTCCATTTTCATTCCCTCCCTCCCTCCTCATGCTTCTGCAGTATGTTTACAAGCAACCAACAGCTGCTAGGATGCCAGCAATTGCTCCCAAGGGATTACAATTAATAGTACAGTGGTGCCCCGCAAGACGAACGCCTCGCAAGACGAAAAACCCGCTAGACGAAAGGGTTTTCCGTTTTGGAGGCGCTTCGCAAAACGAATTTCCTATGGGCTTGCTTCGCAAGACGAAAGCCCATAGGGAAATCTCCGGTCCGCGAAGCCTGGGCGTGCTGATCTCAGCGCGCGCAGGCTTCGGCATGCCGGCAACTCTCCGCGAGCAGCGGCAGCGCTGCCGCTGCTCGCGGAGAGGTCCGCGAGCCTGGGCGCGCTGATCTCAGCGCGCGCAGGCTTCGGCATGCCGGCAACTCTCCGCGAGCAGCGGCAGCGCTGCCGCTGCTCGCGGAGAGGTCCGCGAGCCTGGGCGCGCTGATCTCAGCGCGCGCAGGCTCGGCATGCCGGCAACTCTCCGCGAGCAGCGGCAGCGCTGCCGCTGCTCGCGGAGAGGTCCGCGAGCCTGGGCGCGCTGATCTCAGCGCGCGCAGGCCCGGCATGCCGGCAACTCTCCGCGAGCAGCGGCAGCGCTGCCGCTGCTCGCGGAGAGGTCCGCGGAGCCTGGGCGCGCTGATCTCAGCGCGCGCAGGCTCCGGCATGCCGGCAACTCTCCGCGAGCAGCGGCAGCGCTGCCGCTGCTCGCGGAGAGGTCCGCGAGCCTGGGCGCGCTGATCTCAGCGCGCGCAGGCTCGGCATGCCGGCAACTCTCCGCGAGCAGCGGCAGCGCTGCCGCTGCTCGCGGAGAGGTCCGCGAAGCCTGGGCGCGCTGATCTCAGCGCGCGCAGGCCTCGGCATGCCGGCAACTCTCCGCAAGCAGCGGCAGCGCTGCCGCTGCTTGCGGAGAGGTCCGCGAGCCTTGGCTGGACAGCTTTTGAAGGCAGGTGGGGGGACAAGACTTTCGCCCCCGCCAGCCTTCAGAAGAGGTCCAGGACCTCTTCTGAAGGCTGGCGGGGGCAAAGTCTTTGTCCCCCTGCCTGCCTTCCCAAGGGCTTTTAAATTGCCCCGGACAGCGGAGAAGTCCTCCGCTGTCCCGGGGCAATTTTAAAATGCCGCCCGCCAGCATTTTAAGATCGCCCCGGACAGCGGAGAAGCCCTCCGCTGTCCCGGGGTTTTTTAAAATGCTGGGGGTGGGAAGAAAAGCCCTTGTCCCCCCCAGCCTCCAGAAGAGCTCGGGGGACAGACTGTCCCCGGACCTGGACTGAAGTCGGTTCCCTAGGAACGCATTAATTGATTTTCAATGCATTCCTATGGGAAACCGTGCATCGCAAGACGAAAAACTCGCAAGAAGAAAAAACTTGCGGAACGAATTAATTTCGTCTTGCGAGGCACCACTGTAAATCTGTATCGTAGCTGGTTCTCCAGGAGGACCTCCTCCCTTCTTGAGCATGCTTAAGGGTGGCAGCTAAATCTCACTGGTGACTCAGCTACTCAAGAGATTTGGTCTCATTACTGTAAACTAGCCTATTAAGGTAAAAGTGTTGTCTTTTACCTAACAACATGCCAGAAAGGAAATAGTGTGTTGCAGAGGGAGAACAGGACATTTAACAATGTAACAATACTCCCTAGGGAAAAAAATGGTTTGATTTGGTAGAAGGGGATGGGGAGATCAGGATACTGATTTATGAATGGGGCATACCACAATGTCATTGACATTCCAGAAATATAATTGCAATTTACAGTAAGAATCCTAAGTGTGATTGATATAACTCTAGAATTAATTGCATTGTAGGATGTCTGTAGTGGAAGAGAGTCTACAGTAGCCATCTCCAGACAGTCACCTGGAACATGAAAAGGTTTAAACTAGCTGTAGGCAGGGGCAGACTGAGGACAAAATTTGGCATCCCTCCCCTGTTTTCTGTTCTGCGCATGCTCTCAAGTGCATCCCCTCGGCTTGGCACCCTGTGTGGGGGAATCGCCTGCACTGCCCTAAATCTAGTGCTTCTGTAGAAGCATGCCCAGAAGCCCCACCTCGCTGGCCTCAGGCATTCTGCCTCTCAGACCTTCAAGCATTTATGTGTGTTCTGCTGAAGGTATTTATATATCACCATGCAATTGGGAACCTCAATAAGGCTTGATAACCTTGATAAACATGGAAGCCGGAACACAGATACAAGACCATTTCAGATCTTTGTACAATGGTCTGAGAGGAGCCTGTGTGGACACTGGGTATGGGGCTTGTGCCTATGTACCTGCCTCTCTACCCCTTCAAAAAAAGACCCTCATGAATTCAGGCAAATGCATGAAGAGGGATTATATAAATAACGCAATTGCCTTCACTTGCAATACTGACATAAAGCCTGCACAATAAAACTGGATTCATATTCATAATGCCTTGTAAACCACTCACAAGTCTATTCTGGCATTAAGTGGTACAGTATATATATTAATACCTAATAATGGTGATGTTTTGCATTACTGTACAGTACTTTGTATACACTGCAGAGGTTTGGACTAGATGGCCCTTCCAACTGTATAATTTTATGGGGTTTGTTAAAAAAAGTATAGCAACTACTTAAATTATATATATCTATCTCTGTAGCCTATCCATAAACAGATGCCTCAATTAAATTTCTCTGAGGAAGCATGTGTTAAATGAATGTAAACCATTTTTGTGCACTGTTATCAGATCAAGGTGCGATTTTCACTTAAGAGTGTGTGTAAATCATTTGAAAGTATAATTTTGTTTCGAAAAGAGGGAGAGTTGCTAACAGTTCTAAGCAAAGACTCATGTCTGGCAGTTTAAAAACATGTGCAAAACCCCTTTGATTTACTCCTCATAAAGATGCAGGCAAATTTCTCTAACTCTCTGCCTGCCTCCTTTCTTTTAGCATGTTTTGAAACAACAGCTGTACAAATTTGCTATGGATTAAAGCATTTTGGCTTGCTAAATGGCTTGACGACTATTGTTACAGGATTGCATAAAGGAAAGAAAAACTAACTGATCCACATGCTATCTCATAAAGACAAGTAAGCTCAATATTTTATATTTGTAGAGTGCTCTGGGGGAAAGAATATCCCTTTTGTAGCTTTTGCAGTTGTGCCAGACTTCCTATGATGAATGAGACCAAATGCATGAGCAAAACTGTATCAAGGGGTTGGAATAAAGAAAGTGTTCCTCATTGGACTTTAGAAATAGGATGACTTTGGCCTCTCTCATCTGTAAAAATGTAAAATATATGAAGAAATTCTGCAGCATTTTCCTTCTCTTTACACATTAGGATAATGAAAAACCTGTTTAATTGACTGTTAACCAGTGACTGTGCTTTAGCGGTTATAATTACCCCAGCTAGTATCTATAGGGGTGTGAGTTCTCCCATGATAGCAGCCAGCAGAAACTATCACACAGTGGCAGAGCATCTCCAGTTAAAATGGTAGCCAGCCCTTATGTCAGCACCCAGCAAACCTAGGTTTCTGCTGGGACCCATATGTACTGAGTCCACGAGGTCTGATGCCTTTCTTGTCTCCCTGAAACCCCCAATCATTAAATCCAACCCCTGTCAACTATGGAGGTCAGTCTGTGATGGCCTTTTTGGAGGGGTGGCAATTGGCTGTTTGGCTCCAATTGGCTCTGAGTGGCCACCATCTTGATTTCTAAAATGCAGTGCCCAATGTCTGCCACAATTTCCAGTGTCAGAGGATTTCTTCTGCTAGCAAGCAACATGGAAAGTGGTGCAGTGCAGCTCCACTTAGCTCCGGTGGCGGCAGCGGCTTGCTTGTCCCGGGTGCCAGCAACTCACGTTACGCCACTGCCAGTAGTAGCTTTTACATTGTGTGAAAGATCAAACAAAATGCGGAAATTAACAGGTAGGAAAATGTTGGGAAGCTGGAATAAACTGTCATGTGAATGCAACCTGAAAGAAAATTCTTCGTCTCATATCACAGGCTCATGAATGAGCTTTTCAAAAGGGCCAGTGCCAGACAGTGGACTAGATAGGGGATTCATTGTGAGGACTGTTTCTTTTTTATTAAATCCTAGAGAGTATGAATTATGTATTGACTTCTGCAATGGTACTCTTTTTTTAAAAAAAAAATTAAAAATAATTTTTATTGAAAAATAATTTTATTTTATGTTACAAAAAAACATTACAACTATACTACCACTAAATGGTACTCTCCTATTATGTATGTACTGTTTTATATACTCTCCCACTTTATAATTATTTGTTTCATACTCTCTGTGTTTAAATATTTGTAGCGTATTTCCTCTCTTGCATAATGTTTAGATTTTGTAGTATTTTTCAAATACTTACCAAATTTGTTTTTGAATGCTTGCTACTCTACAAGTTTGGGAAATTGGTGTGTTATGATTCTTTGCCCATTAACATCAGTAAATAAAGCCACAGTCTGATCAGCAAGTATGAACTCAAAGAGCTAAATGCCTCAAACTTTTAATATGATGATGCACTTAATTAAGCATCCTTGGGAATAATTAAGTATGAATGAGTCCATATATAATTAAGGAGACAAGTTTTATGATTGATGTACACAGAACTAATTTACCACCTCTGAATTGCTCCAGCACATAGGTATGATTATGCTCCTATGCCTAATTGCTGATACACTCGTTTTATTTTTCAGCATTTCTCTGTGTTTAAATGATTGCTATGTTTTGTCTTCTCACAAAAGTAGGACTCTAATGGAAAAACTCATATTTTTATCAGTCAGCATTTCTGTTACTAACTTTGAGAAAATGCTAAGTGTTCTAAGGGCTGCTTATAATAACAATCTGTTTCTGTACATGCCAGCAGTCCTGATTGTCCCTGGGTACATTTTCATGTTGCAAAATGTAACTTGTGAACTGGCTGATGACTAATATAGTTAGTAGTAATTAATGTCCCTGATCAAAGTAGCTGTTTCACACCCAGTCACTGCAATCCTGGTATATTCGTGTGTGCATCACTTCGCACGCAAGTTGTTGACATCCATCTGTCTCAAGAGACAGTGTGTACGGAGGTCCTGGGCCACCTAGATGACAAGACCCCACTACTGGCCTCACAGATGTGGTCTAAAGGAAAGCAGAACAGTATGTTTGACACCAGCTTCGCTGCAGGAAGGAGGTGTACAAGGCTCCATCCAACCCTCTTAGGGACTTCACTCCGGATATGTGTAGGATTTATTCCTTAGCCTTTCCATCTCCCACAAGGCAGCAGTGGTTTAGGTTCAGGTTCAGAGTTTTCCTTCTCCAAGTTGGGCTACCTTCTCAGGTTGACAAGCCCCATCTGCCCCTCCCTTTCCTAAACAGCACACACAGAAACTGTCTTCTTGACCATTGGACCCACTATTGGTCTCCTCTGCTCAATGCACTAGAGCCTGTCTTCACATGCAGGGGAAGTCCCTAACTCACTGAAGGTTTGAGACCTATCAGCCAGCCTCACCTGGTTCAGTCATCCAGTCAAAGCCGTTCCTAGGGTGTGGTCACTGTCACATGCTGACAGCATCTAGGAGCCACAGGTGAGAGTTGAGTGCAGGGTGGGGACCAAAGGTGGACAAACTACCCCAGGAGGAGCACAACGTGTCCTCCACCAGAACTACTACCCCTCCCCTAACACCCCATATGCACATAAGAACATTCCTGATAATAGCTAGGAATGCTCACATAAGAAAAATCTGCTGGATCAGGGCAATGGCCTATCTAGTCCAGCATCCTTTTCTCACAGAAGCCGACCAGATGCCTGTGGGAAACTGACAAGCAGGATTCAAACACAAGAGAACTCTTTGCTCCTGTGGTTTCCAGCAACTGGTATTCAGATGCATTGCTGCCTTGAACTGTATGTTGTACTCTATGAAGTAGCCCTAGCCCTAGCATTTTAGTGGTGTCAACAACATGTCTAGATATAATGGCTATGCACTATCTTTTCATTCAGAGGACCATGAAACTAACTGTTCAGTTTTGTGGTCCATCAAGTTGAGGAACCTCTGTTCCCACTACCACCATTCCACGGTTGTAGAAGAGGCATAGTGGAAATGGAGGGAGGGTGTGATGGGCCCTAAATCAACTTGAAAGAGGGCTGCATTTGTCCAATCCTGCACAGCTATCCCCTCCCTTTCACAACCAATTGCATAGGTGGAACTGGCTGGAAACATCACTTTAGATCATGTAGTGCAAGTTCATTGCAGGACAGTTTCAATGAGATGGCTGCTGTTTCTTTAGGAAATTATTCAACATTAATTCAACTCCATTGAGTGTCAGATTAACTTGGTATATTAAGTTTAATGGCTGAAAACAGCTCCCTTTTTAAAATCCTGCTGTTTTGACAGAGCTGGAGAATGAAACTAGGCCTGAGGTTTTAAAAGCCCCAGAAAAGAACAAGAAAGGAAATACATGCTTTACACTCTTTAAAAACCTCTTTTGACTAACTGCTCCCTCTAAAACCTATGTTCATGGCATCAAATATTTACCAAATGGAGGTTTAAACTGCTACAAAGGGAGTCTTGTCTCGAATGTACAGGAAAAGTGAGTTGGGGAAAAAGAACAGCTAACTTGCTTGATTTACAGCTTTCTGCAAACTCGGCTTCTAAGCACATCATAGCCTGGAATGGCATAAACAAAGTAGGCTGGTCTCAAATAATTCTGCAGGGTGAGCCTCATTGAAATTATGTGATGAAACACTTTGAGGAGTGGAAGTTTTAAAAATAGAAATCTTTAAAACAAGGCCTCTGTTTTGTGGTTTCTCAAACAATTGGTTTTAAACTGATGGTTTGTCAAAAGCTTTCCCCCTTTCAACATTTATCCTAGCTTCTTCTCTGGAGGCTTTCCCAAACAGTAAACAAGCCAACCAACCACACTTTACTTTTTGGAGCCACATTGCAGATGTATTTACTTTAGAATCTTAAACTCATTTAACAGTCATTCCCTCTGCTCTGACCAAGGAATTCTATTTCTTTGAATAAGACTAGAGATCTAGCCTCTGCACTCTCACTCTTCACTCATTCAGACTGGCTGTCTAAAGCTCTATGATTGAAGGAAACCCTCTAGGCCGTTATACCGGTCTGAGTTTGGTCAGCTGACTCACCTGGAAATAGTCAGCTGACTTCACAAGCTAATGAAGACACACCAGCATCTAAAGAAACTATCCTCCCAAGTCGGCTTCTGAGTCTTCTGGCTACCTCGTTGCTTCAGCAACAGCACCATCCACTGTGTCATGTGTTACCCACTATCGACCTCCAGCCAATCCATTTGGCCTATCTGACTATTTGTGTCAGGCTCAAAGGCCTAACACTATTAACCTACCTCCTGATGGAGATTCAGTTGTAGACTTTCTTCCTTCAAACACACACACGCTGCAAAATGCATCTGTTCAAAGAAGGAACACTAGCTAAAGTTGCTATTTCCTGCTGCTGAGTCAGATACCAGTTTTTGCATATTATTTTCTGGTATACATTTTTCTTCTTCAAAATTGAGTCATCTTGAGCATATGGAGAAGGCAGGATATAAAAATTAAAATAATAAAATAAACATTGCTGATAAGGATGCACACGTTCCCATCTGTATGGCAAGGCTCGTTTCCAACACTGTTATCACACTGCTCGAAAAAAATAATGGAGGATATGGTTATCAACAGTTACTAGTCATGATGGCTATAATCTCCCATATCAAAACCAGTATGCCTTTGAATAGGAATTGCTAGGAAGGGCAGGGTTGCTATTCCACTCATGCCCTTCTTTTTTAAATAAAATAATTTTTATTAACCGACCAATCAAATCAAATCAAATCACATCACATAAATTCCAAATTACAAAGCCGAATTTAAAATTTTGTTGAGGGGACCCATATTTCAAGATCCAAAGGGGGATTCTGATCATCTTCTTGCTACTGCGTTAATGTCCAAATCAGTCCAAACAAAGTTCATAATTCTATCCAGTCTTATCTTGCTGTTTCCACATCTCATCTTGTTCGTATATTTTCTCTTTTTTCTTTATGATCTCTTCTGATAATCTCCTTAAGCTGATAAACACCAATAATAATCCTGTGTGAATTTTTCAGTTCATCCAATCCTCAAATCGAGATGGTTTCCATATATCATCGCATTCATAGATAACATCGCTCTTTCCATCATTAATCACAGAACTGTCGTTCTTAAGTCCCTCTGAGGAGTTTCACCCACAATATAAAAACAGCTCTATTTCTCTATTTCTCCTCCCAGACTTAAGTCCTCCGACAGAACTTCCCAATATGGCGACGGTATTTTTAACTGCGTCATTCCAAAGCCCTTATACATTCCACGCTCTTCTTAAAGCATGCTTTGGTTAGAAAGTTTATCTCCACACAGACATAAATCCACAGCTTAAGTCCTTCAAACGACATTTCTGACTTGTGGCGGGCGGGATTCTTGTTTAATCACATAGAGGAAAGAAAGGGAAGTTTTTTTTCCCCTCCCCCATCCAGTCCTTTTGCCATACCGAGTCTTGGTGTATCTTCATCTGGTTAATTCTTGTTCTTCCGACTCGTCTTGTTTATCAGAGATCTCTTCTGTTAGCAGTCTTTACTCCCCCTCCTTCCTTGAAATATGTGCATTCGCTTCATCCTAATCGTTTCTTTTGAAGTTCTTGCAGCTAGAGGCGCGGATCAGAGGCAGCATCCAGGAGCGCCGATATCCACAGAAGGGCATTCTGCCTAGTGCCCCCATCCCCACAAATTCGGGGGTGGTATAGGGCACAGCAGGCAAGGGCAGCCCCCCCCCAATCCTGGGGGGGTAGGGAGGCTATTTACTCCCATCACAGCCTCCAAATTACCTCGTGTGGGTCGGAGATATGTTATTGTCAGCCATCTTCTGATGCGCCCCTAGTGGCCCCCTGGACTCATGCCCTTCTTGGGGGCATAAGCATCTAGATGGCCACTATGAGAACATTATACTGGAGACTAGATGGGCATTTGGTATAGTTAAGAGCAGCCTTATGGCTTACTATCTAAATGCACCATGGCTATACCTGGACGGGGGCCAGTAAGCTTAAGTAATGGAAAGGTCCAATTCACCAACTTACACATAGAGACCGTGCCTCCCTAGCCTAATTGCTTTTCTGCCAAACACAATATTGCTCATAAACATGCCTTAGGCACAAAACATTTGAAATCAGTCCAATCCAGTATGTTGTTTTTGTTTAGTCCTGTGCCTAATGGGTAAGGTCCAATGCGGCTTTTGTTCAGAAATCTATATAGCATCTCCATACAACAAGTGAGGAAAACAAAAGCTGTCACTATGCCTCAGAAAGCGCTCATTTTCATTCTTTTGTTATAGCTTCTGCATTCTTAGTTTTCCATAGAACTCCTAGCTTTTTTTGGGGGGGGGTATTTGATCCCAAACAAATTATTTGTGCATTCCCCTGTAGTTTTTTGATGGACATAGCCAAGTAATTGGCAAGTAACCAGTTAGACTTCTGCATAAAAGCTGCCACCAGGATTTGTTGAAAGTGAATCATCCTGAATGAACATTTGCATGAGGCTTCTTTGTGTGTTATGAAAAGAGGACAACTATTCTGAACTCATTGGTTCCCCAGCCTGACTTTGCCAAGGTAATGCAAATGCAGGATCAGGAGAAAATTGGTAGGCCTTATCTGATGGTGTATTTATGGTGTCATAGTAACTCTCTACATGAGAAAATTAGGAGGGACGCGGGTGGTGCTGTGGTCTAAATCACTCAGCCTCTTGGGCTTCCTGATCAGAAGGTTGGTGGTTCGAATCCCCGCAATGGGGTGAGCTCCTGTTGCTCGGTCCCTGCTCCTGCCAACCTAGCAGTTCGAAAGCACATCAAAGTGCAAGTACCGTAGATAAATAGGTACGGCTCCAGCGGGAAGGTAAATGGCATTTCCGTGCGCTGCTCTGGTTTGCCAGAAGCGGCTTAGCTAGCTAGCCACATGGCCCAGAAGCTGTATGCCGGCTCCCTTGGCCAATATTACCTTTACATGAGAAAATTAAAAAATTGTCCAGTAGCATCTTAGAGACCAACTAAGTTTGTTCTGGGTATAAGCTTTCGTGTGCATGCACACTTCTTCAGATATACTGAAACAGAAGTCACCAGACCCTTATATATAGTGGGAGGGTGGGGTGGGGTTTTTCTCAGAAGGGTAGTGGGAGATGGGTGATTGGCTCAACAGGTATGGTAACTGGCGACTGTCAATGATTGCAAATAGTCCTACAGGAAAAAGCAAGGGATAGTATGCAGATGACCAAAAATAGCTTTAGCATATGTAATGAGACAAGAATCCAATATCTCTATTCACACCAGGTCTCTCCATGCTTTTCAGTTTAGTAATAAGTTGTTATTCAGCAACTCCTCTTTCAAGTCTATTTCTGATTTATTTATTTTTTGTAATAAGACAGCTGCTTTGAGATCCTGTATTGAATATCCTGGGAGATTGAAGTTTTCTCCTACTGGCTTCTCTGTCTTGTGATTCCTGATGTCAGATTTATGTCCATTTATTCTTTGGCATAGGGTTTGGCCTGTTTGGCCAATACAGAGAACTGAAGGGCACTGCTGGCAGATCTATAGCAAACCTTTTTGGAACTAAAACTGAGATATTGGATTCTTGTCTCATTACATATGCTAAAGCTACTTTTGGTCATCTGCATACTATTCCCTTGCTTTTTGCAGGAGGCAGGGGAGAGCTGAGCCAGCAGAGAAATAAGAAATAATGATAAATAAGCCATATTGAATTCAATGGGACCTACTCTTAGGTTTTTGTCCCCTTTGTCATGTTTAGAGTAGGCTAGATGAAGTCATTGGGATTCAAGTTAGGACTAACTTAAATCCTATTGATTTCAGTGGGTCCACTCTTTCTGGATCCAGTTCAGAGCAGGGAATGCCATGTTTGCCTAGTTACATTTAATTTCTCCCAGTGATATAACCATGCCAGTTAAAACACAATAAAAACACAATTAAAGGCTACATTCTCTCTTCACAAAAAAGACACTGTTCATGTCCCATTGCCAGAAAAGTCCCCAAATAAAGATTAACAGTGTGCCATGAAGGTCAACAAATCTAGAGCATTTTGCATCAAACAAGGAGTATACTTTCAAGATGACAGTTCCCCAAAGGCAGTTTTCTATCACTAGATCCCTCTCCGTGACAAGGTCAGATGATGGTGAATCAATAAGCAACTGCCACGGATGAGCAGCTATCCTCTTGCTTTATATCCAGCATATGAAAGCAAATTGAAGCCTTCTCCACTGAACTCCAGTGCCATCACCAGCTCCATATGGAAAACAGTATAGAACTGCAGACATATTCCAAGAACAAAGCAGCAGAGAAGAAACCTATATCGTCTGCATTTTGCCCTGGAGCTTCTGTTACTGAAGCAGAAACCAGGGGATGCACCCTGACCTTCTTGTCCATATGCCTTTAAGAACTCATCTCAGCACTAGGAAAAATGGGGCAGGCATTTCATTGGGAAGGGAGGATAGACATACAGCAATAACCGAGTGCTGTTGATTTTTACACAGTGGAAAACAAAGGACTTAAACAAGACCGGGGATGAATAAATCACTTTGGCAGGTGCTGAATTACAGTCCACCAGGGCCTTACCTGAGGAGCATAGTTTATGAAATCCTATATTAATCAAAGAGTTTTATGGTGGTGTTTACACCATGCTTTTTACTGTAAATGCATTTGGCACACTTTCAGAATAAAGTGCAAATGTACTGATGTGCCATGGTTAGGTTGTCTGCACCACCTTATTTTCATAAAACCCATCACTGAAAATAAGATTCAGGAGAGTGCTAAGTCTGTGCCTCTCACCATTTGCCTCTATTTCTTCTCATCCACATTCAAGAGGTAATAACTCTTCCACTCTTGCTTCGCTCATGTTTAGACAAATGTCTAATCCCTTCCTATTGTGCTGTCCTTCAACCATCACCATTAGAACCTTCTGCCTTTTAGATGAATAATTGCAAATTCAGCTGTTAATTGGACTGTTTTTAAAAGAAAATAAACTGAATTTGTCTTTGTATTCCAAACATTCTTCATCTCCGATGTTGAAGCCTTTCTCCTGTTTGCAAAATGTTAGAAGCAGTTTTGTTGTTCATATGCGACTAGGCACACTTATTTCTTGAATGGGATTAATTTCTAATCTCATTCTTATACTGTCCATGTGCACAATTGCACCATCTGTTGGAAGTATGACAGACTTCCAACAATTATGTATTCTGTCTAATGATCGGAACTGATTCATATCTCTTACTAAGCATGTGGATCTTATGCTTATACTTTTCCTAAGAATATCTGAAGATCTCAGAAGACTTTTCAAAATACACACATACTTTTGTAATAGTGCTTGGTTTCTGAGTGGTTTAACTAAAGTTTTAATAAATTAACTACTGTAATAGTAAATGCATGCAAATTCTACAGATTTCATTGAACAGAAACTTGTACTATTTGAAACTCACAGTAAAAATTAGTTTTTGAAAGCATTGTCTTTTAAAAGCATATTTTTTAAAAGCAGATCTGTAATCCATGCCTTTCACAAATGTGTTAAAGGGGAAAGATGCGACTTAGTAGAGCTTTGGCGCAGAGGATTTTGTGTAGCTCACAAGAATGAGAAGAGTTTATAGACTGCGGCTTCATTGGGGAGTCTTTCATTTTCCACTGAAATCATTTTATCTACTGTACTTTTCCATGTATAACACGCCCCCTATTTTGGTAGACTCCAATTTCATAAAATGGCCCAAAGTTGATGAGCTTTTTTTGGGGGGGGGGAATGCAGTAAATCACTAACCCGATGGTTGCAATCTCTCGCCCCGCTTGCTAACAATTGCTCACGTCTGCTACAAGCGTCTGCCCGATCGCCTGCAGCGGAAGTAAATAGCAAGCACAATTGCCGCAGTGGCAGCCAATCCTCAGCAGCCCTTGACACAGCAAACAATCCCACACCCATTTCCCACAGCTAATACATTTTTTTTTTTATAATTGATATTTATTAAATTTTCAAAAAGTAACAAGTAACAACAAAAATTTCCAAAAAAGTTTGAAAATACAAAAAAAAACAAACAAAAATAATACAGAAATAATAAAGAAGAAAAAACCCAGCCGCAAAAAAGAAAAAAGAAAAACAGAAAAATAAAAATATAAAATCCTTTACGATCTCCATTAACTTCCTTTCTAGACTTCCTCCTCCTCCCCCCTCTTGTTTCTTAGTATTTAATTTTTACAGCAAATCCTTTCTGTTTTTTCATAACAATCTATCATTGCGTTTCCTTATTCTATTTTCCCTCTTGTCATATAAAAACTTTAAAACTCAAAGCTTATATTCAATATTTAGCAAATTCTTACATCATTACCTTTTTACAAATCATTTACCAATCCTTACTTAAGTCATATAATTTCATTCAACATCCTTCAAACATTTATAAACATTCCCAATATTAAAAATAAGAAAGAAAAAATAATAAGTCAGATTCAGTCCAGTCAACTTCCAGCCTCCCTCCCCTGGACCCGGGATTGTCAGTCCTTTTAACCTCAAATAATCCGGCTCCTTAACCTGGTTGTCTCGTATCCGAGGCCCTCAACTCTCTTTCTTGCCCCTTTCGCCACTCTTGTTGATATTTCCTTTCAGTCGTGGATACTCCAGCAAGAAGATGCTTTTGACTCTTTGCAGCAAGTCCATCCCAAACCCATTACCCAAGCCAGACAGCAGATAATACCACTTCCAATTTCCACAAAACTTGGAGACTTCGACTACTCCAATCCTCTGATGGCCCATCACTAGACTCGGAAAGTCCAAATAACCATATAGAGGGGTGTCAATCCATCCCCCCATTTCCAAATCTGACCACATTTCATCTTTCCGAATCAGGTTTGTCCCAAGTTCATTTATCAAGTTCAAAGGCTGATCTTGCCCATCCATAGGTCCCTCCATCTCTGAAGCCTCCGTCGCTACAGCAGGTTCATATACTTGTATAGACTTTAACTGAATTTCATTTGTTTGCTGCTGTGCTCTGGTAACTTCCGTCATCATCAAGGTCGACTCCTGACGCATCTGGTCCAGCTGGGCACTTAATTTTGCAAAACCTTCCAGGAACACTTGTTCAAGCCTTTGTACAAGCATTGTCCTTCAAGGTCAAAGAAAATTCTTTCCCACGAGAATGGTCCTTCTCTTTTAAACTCTCTGCATTGCAATTTCACTCAGTTCCACTAGATGGAAAACCCTTTTTTTTTATTTATTTATTTTTTAAGAGGGGGAAAAACAACAGTAACAATCTTTCTTTTTCCAGAAACACTTTATCCAAAATTCCCCCTTTCAAATTCAAGAGGCAACAGTAGAATCAAAATGTTACCCTTCTTTTAACTATCTGTCGAGCTGGATAAGCTTCAAAACGTCAGTTCTGACAGCCCGCTCCTGGTTCAGGGCGGTGGAAAATTACTTTATTTTAAACTCACTTCCGCAGGGTTGAAAAGATCAAAACAACCCCCTTCTTCTCCTGCAATCAAAGGGGGGGGTCAGAAATCTTAGATGTTGAGTTTTAGTTCTCTCAGAATTTAGTTTTCAAACTTTAGTATAATTTGTCTTTGCTTTCTTCACGTAACAAAAGAACGGAAGGCGACTTCCTGTTTAGACCTTTCCGTTCCGAGTCCCAATTAAATTCAATTTCAAGTTCAAGTCCAATGTTATTTATTTATTCACCAATCTTAAAAGTAGTTCAGCTCTTCCAGGATCAGGTACTCACGGATAGATGTTTTAGTTGCCAAATTGTCCAGGAAAAAGGCAGCGCTCTCCGAAAACGGCAGTGCGGCTTTGCTGCACGGAGGAAGCAGTCGACTCACAGCACCACGCACCTCCCACTCCGGAGCCCGTTACCGGGCTCCGGTCCAAGGGGAGAGCGCTCTCGGTGCCCGCCGAGTCCCACGCCCACAGGCTTCTTCCGCCTGTGGTTTTTAAGGGTCCCCGCTGCGCCGTAGCGGCAGGACCCAAGCCTCCGTGCAGCGGGTTCCCTTCAGTTCGAAGGGAATTCCGCCATTTTCCGGAGGCGCCACCCCGGAAGTCCCCACAGCTAATACAAAGAAACCTTTGCCACAGCCACCAATCACAATACCAATCACCAATGACAGTCTGCAGTTCGCGGCTGCAACCAATCACCCGTCACCCATACCCACTACCCGTGTATAAGACGCCCCCAGTTTTTAAACCTTATTTTTCAGTAAAAAAAACACCCTAGTCTTATACATGGAAAAGTACGGTACTTGCTTTTACAATAGGTATAGAGAACTTGTACCTTTTCAGATGTTGTAGGACTATAACTCACATCATCCCTGATGATTGAACAAGCTAGCTGGGGCTGATGGGAATGGGAGTTCTACAACATCCAAGCCAGCAATATATTCCCCATATATGATTTAGTGTGACAGCTCAGCAGGAAAGACACAGAGCCATCATACACTGAGCATCACCAGAAAGATGTGGACAAAGGCTTGTCAAGTTAATTCAGACTAACAATTTACATATCTCATTGCAGTTCTTCTTGCCTTGCTTCTACCCTTGACTCTTAGTCTCCCAGCCAGCAGCAGTCCTTAGCCTGTCTACTCCTTTCCTGCCAAGAGAACCCAGGTTCCTTAAGAATTTATTTTCTCCCATCCAAACTGACCTTCACAAGATTTTGCCAACTTTCTGACATCTACATTTGTGGCCTTCCGTAGAAGATTTAAGATCACATATTTTTCTTACATAAAAATATGTAAATGCAGGCCTACAGTGCTGATATCATGATATATTTACAACATGAATCAATTTATAACTCAAAATACATCCTTCTCTTGATGAAAAGAGACATTTGATCAGCATTAAAAAGCCCATATTTTATAGTGATGACAAGAAGCAAGCTATAAATTATCCATAATAGTGAGCAATCCTATGCAAATGTTACCCTCCAGGTTAGAGTGGTGTTAAAGATAAGGGCTAGTCTTGCAATCTTATTATTTTCACTGGACTGGAAAGGACCAGGGATGCAGTACAGCATTCAATAATCTACCTACTGATGTTTTGGTATAATTAAAAGAGTTTCCAGATTACCTTTGTCCTAGGAGGCAAAAGCAGCTGTTCCAAGACTGAGCAATACTGTGTTGCATGATTTCCAAAGAGCCAGGTGCTATGGCTATCAGCCAGAACAGAATGACAATTGGGTAATCTGTGCAAGAAAGAGCAGTTTCTGCTCCTCCTCCTTACTGGCTGAGAGAGTTAAGTAAGTCAGCTGATCCCCGAGAGTCTTTCCCTCCATTTACACTTGTGCTGAACCTGGCAGAAGGCTCTTTGATTCGCCTTCCACAGGATACCAACATAATCAGATGGGAACTCAGATGCACATGGTGGCAACTACATGTAAATAACCATAAAGACAGAGTAATAACTGTGGGACAATGTGGCTAACCCACTGATTTTATTAATGCCAAATAGTATTTGTCAGTACAGTGGTACCTTGGGTTACAGACGCTTCAGGTTACAAACTTCGCTAACCAGGAAGTGGTTGCTCCAGGTTAAGAACTTTGC